ATCCTATAAAGGACCTGGAATGCAGCTGAGAACTAGGGAATATAAGACTTGGTTCCTACCGGAAAAAGGAGATCAAAGAATACCTTAGAGAGGAAGGAAGTTTTAGCCACACTAAACAATTAGGGAATGGGACCTTTTAATAATGAGAATCTAAGTGATGTTTTACTCTGACAAGAAAAGAATTCACTGAGAAGAAAGAATATGCATGACAGGTTGATGAAAAATGTGTATTCCCTAGACTCATGATTTGGGTACTGTCTTGAGCAAATTAGGGTTGCTAAATTTTTGCAGTTGCAATTATTGCGTTATCCCCATTCCTATGAAGAATTGGGATTTATGATGTCAGAATGTATCAGACACGCAAATAATGTGTTTAGCTTTCCAGGACCAAGATGAGATGAGAGGTGACCGGACTTTGGGTGATAGGTTCTGGAAATGGATAGCCCACAATAAGGCATGCTTATTTTTGCCTGGTACAGGTCCTCAGAAGAAAGGGGTAGATAGGTCATAAGCCTTAATTGTTCAAGAAATACTTAATGAAAGATACTTATCAAAAAATGGGCCGCCTGGAAAAATAGAACTGGGGATACAATGCCCAGGTTCTTGGGGTAGAGTAAGTGACTGATGATTACATTGACTAAAGAGGGGAGAGAGCTAAGGGAAAGACATGGTTGCAATGAATTTCTCTGTTCACACGGGGACACTGCCTAGCAACAGAGTGTGGTTTTTGTATTCCAGAACTAGTGATTCTCGAAGGTGGCTCTTTGGGGCAAGTCTGCATGAGCAGTGTTGTGCTATCCTGCTTTAGCTTAGTAGCACCCAGAAGAACAACATGCAAGAATGGTCCACCACTATTTCAGTGGGTTGTAGCAACAAGATCTAGAGTGAAGTTACACTTTTTATGTTTAGACCATATTAAGGGAACTTAAAATACAAGTGCCCACACATTAAAGCTTATTAACTCATACTAGGTATCCTCTGAGCATCTCAACGTTACACCACTTCAGGCACTTCTGGACAATACTACCTACCTTGGGCTGGGGTAATTTCAGTGTGCCCAGAGATAAATGAGAAATTTGCAGTCTTGCAGAATCCCAGGATTCACCGCTTCCAGCTCCCCAGTCCCTCCTCCCCCACTCCTTAGAGCAGGAATTGAGCCTAACCTTTCTGGCTCCTACCTACCCCACTCTTCACCAGCTGTCTAGGGGCAAATCAGAGCTACGCAGGCAAAAAGAAGGTATTAACCCTTAATGCACAACTGCTTACAACATATTCTGTTACACCACTAAATCATTCCACAGGTTTAGTATGATCTAAGTCAGGGGTTCCCAAACTGTGGTACACATACCCCTGGGGGACAAGACATCTCTGGAGGGCATGTGGGAGAAATTGTGTAACAGTGGATTTAATTTTCATTGTAATAATACATGGCATTTAAGGGGTTAAAATATAAAACATGCTGGTATGGGGTATGCAGGCAGGTTGTAAATCTGGAAGGGGGTACACAATAAGAAAAAGTTTGGGAACCTCTGGTCTAGGTGTAACATATAACTTCACCCTCACTGGACACCCTGTGGACACTGACATTAGGAAGGGTTAAATCTAAGCCATTTTGTTTGCCCCCTAATTTTAATCTAATGATTTTATCGAAGAGTCAAAAGGCTGTGATGATGCTGGCTTTGTTTAATGGATAGCAGTATACCAGACCTGCCTGTCTTCTTGGCGGTCTAGCAAAGATCTAACACCTCTTCCTCTATCAGGAGACTTGACTGATGTTTCTGTAAGTCTTTAAGTGATTTCTAGCTTCTGCCATCCTATCTGTTTTTCATTACATGTGAAAGCATTTGATATTTAGAAGCAGGCTTAACTTTTCATTGTCCATTTCCAAATAAAGTAAACACGTCTCACAGTGCATCTGCAGAAAAGAAGAAAACTACCAGGGTTTGTGGAGAAAAGGGTTAAGGAGAGCAAGCACAGCAAAATCTTAAGTAACTTAAGCATTGCAGTATGGTAGGATAATTACAAGCAAAATGATGCCATATATGGTAATATTCACAGGGATTTAGGAGAAAGCCAAGTGATGGGCACTGTTGCCCTGGGAGAAAGGAAATGCAATTCATGTAGTGATGAACTGCAAATAACCTTTCATAAAATGGAACAGTTCAAAGCCCCGAGTTTGTTTGAAGAAAGTTTTTATTTTTCCGAAGGAGCATAGTTGTAAGGTAGATTTATTTGAAAACTTTGTACGCAAATGTCTTCAAATTAGTGTGCTTAGTTTGGAATGCTTCCCAGGACACTTAATTTTTATCAATAAAACATGGAAATGTTTCAGCTCTGAAGCTCAAACAGGGATGAGTCTATCCTTTAACTGTCCAAACTAACCTGAGTCCAGTGAAATGAAAGCTGTTGGGCCTAATTAATTTTGTTAAACTTCTGAAAACCAGGAGAAGCAATTCTCATCATGTAGTACCTAGAAAGGAATTGTTTCTGACTTACTAAGGTTTAATCAATGTCATCCCATTTTAAAATCTTTCTCTGATTTTACTCAGATTTTTATGTCCACTTATCACTGCTCTCTTGGTAGAGACAATTAACTCCAATATTTCCTAATTAGGAAAAAGAGCAGAGCGTTAATGGATGCAGTTAAATAGTTTCAGTTTCAAAGGATCAAGCTACATTTCAGTGGGACTTTTTAATGTATTGTTCTTTTTTCCCCATCCACTTAATGCAGAGACAGAGAGGCCTGATTCTCATTTAGAAAAAGTTCCCTTTACACAGCATTGACCCAGTACGGTGAAAGGCACAAGCATAAATAACATTCACTTGGACTTCAAAGCTAAAAGAACACTGACATGAAAATTCTGGGCTAAAAGAATTTAGAAAAAGTGAGAATATTATATTGTGCTTCGTGAAGGGAGAACAAGGCGTTTAGTGTGTATCAATTCTGAAAAGTGACCTTGTTACCTTCTCATTCAAATCAATCCCTATAGTACTGAATTTGAAAGTCAGGTGGGCATAGTTTAGTGGCAGAAGGATATGTTTAATGTTTTTGATTACTAGCCCAACAGTGCTGGGAAGATGGAGCCGTGTTCTTTTCTAGCTCGTGCATCTTTAAGCCCCTTATAAAAATGAATTAAGAGTATTCCTTCATGGCACGATACAGAGGCTGAGAGACATGGGACTCTTCAGCCTGGAGAAGAGAAGGCTCAAGGGGGACTTGATGACAGCCTTTAAGTATATAAGGGATGTGAGTCAGGAATGGGGAGAACGTCGATTCACCAGGGCATCCCAAGGGAAGACAACGTCTAACAGTCACAAACTGCTGGAAGACCATTTTAGACTGGACATAAGGAAAAACTTCTTTACCGTCTGAGTCTCCAGAATCTGGAATAGACTCCCTGCAGAAGTGGTGCAAGCACCTACTCTGGATATGTTCAAGAAACGCCTGGATGCTCACCGTGCTGGATTCATCTGACTTCCCTTCCAGCCCTAACATCTATGAAATCTATGAAAATTTGTTAAATCTAGATGCCTAAAGTAGCCTTAAACAAGCTAACTCAGGCACCAGAGAGTAACAAGGCCTGAGCTAATTTACCCTGCATCTCAGCATGGCTAATTAGCCTGGGTAGAGTATCATGTGAATATAACTGTATTACTTCCATTACCCAAGCTAGCTCTGAGGGAACCAGTTTTGTAGTTTCATGTCTCTCTGTAGCACTGTGTTGTTCCAGCAGGCATAGAGTTTTGATTGTAGAGCCAAATGTGCCTCTTGTTGAACTTTTTATGCCAAGTAGACAGAGAGATGTCTTGAATATTTAGCATGCAAAATCTTTATTAGCAGGGCGTCAGAAACAGCCAAGCTCAGCTTCCAGATCCCAGGCTGGTTCCCACGTAGCCATTTTTATTGAGTCATTTGCTACAGAGCGGAACTGGGATCCCGGCTCTAGGCCAGATGGGGGTTCCCCCACACCAGGGAATCTTGTCACTCAAAAGTGATGTGCCAGGTATCCAGGTTGTAGTTGTATTGGTCTAGAGGCAAAAAGAATCAGAATTCGTGGTAGAGGTGATATCTTTTATTAGATGTTTGCAAAAAAAATTTTTATTTGCAAGTGATGTACATCAGGGGTTCCCAACCCCTGGGCCATGGTCTGGTACTGAGCTGCAAGAGTTGGCTGCCAGTCCGCAGGAGGGCTGGCTGCCAGACCAGAAGTGACCGTGGACTGGCATACTGTGGACTGGCAGCCAACCCTTTTTTATACTGAGTATAAAAATGGTTGGCGACCTTCCCACAGTATGCCAGTCACCTGCACTGCTGGTCCATGGCTTGCTGGTCTGGTGTCACTTCTGGTCCGTGGCTTGCCAGTCCTTAGCACAAAAGGGTTGGGAACCCCAATGTATAACATTCTTAATGGAGGCCAGGGTCTGGCCCAGATGGTCAAACTTTGTTTCCATTGAATTTAAGTTTCCATTGAACTGAGTTCAATGGTAATGGGGTCATGCCCACATTAACTAAAATCTGTATAAAAGTTGAGTTTGTGATTAGGTTATTTCCAGGTTGGAGTTACAGAAGTTACAACTTATTATTATTTATTGCTGATATTTTTAAATGGCTATTTCCATTTTGTAGTTAATGATATATATTTTGTTCTTAAAATACTGGCAGACTCACTCTCCCGCCCAGCCCTGCATTTATAAAATGTTCAAATGCTGCCAAAGTAAGATGAACTGTCATTTGAAAATGCAGAAACAATTGCCTTAAATGGCCCAATGTCCAGTCAAAATACAGAAGGAACAGGGCTGTAGCTGTCACATTGCATTCCTGGCAAGTTGAACTCAGGTGACATTGGGGCAAATGAGAGACTGAAGTGAAAGACCAAGTGTGATTGGGGGAGTGTGCATGCCCTTTTTTACTATCCCAAACACAGCCCATTATAGAGGGAATCTAATAGTCTTCTGTTTTTTGTCTTGTTTTGTTTTGTTTTTTCTCTTCTCTCCCCTAGAGGGGAATCTGGTGCAGGTAAAACAGAAAACACCAAAAAGGTCATTCAGTATCTGGCTGTGGTTGCTTCCTCGCATAAGGGCAAAAAGGACACCAGCATCACTGTAAGTGAACTCTTCCCTATTCAATTTTCCTTTTTAGTTGAACTTCCTTTAGCTTATTAAGGCAGCATTTAGCTGACTGTGCTTAACTGCAAGGCAGTTTAAGTGATCAAAATGTTTGCTACTTCCATGTCTTGCCAAATAGTTGACATATTAAGAGTACACAATTATGTCACAGCTCCATGTTTATGGAAAAAACTTTTGTTTGACATCCCTTTGGGCACCAAAGGAAAATGTACTTTGTTAGAAGAGAAATATTCATAGCTTTCCATATGTACATCAGCTATTTATATCCTAGCAGGAACTGCCTGAGCCCTTCAAGGAGTTAGGGTCCTTATTTTACCTTTGCCTCCCTGGCAACTAAAATGCTTGCAAAGAACTTTAAATAAAATGTTTTCCAGTTGTAACAGGAACAGGTATGTGAGCAATACTGGATGATATAAGTTAAACCTTGACCAGTTCTCTTTTACATTTATTAGAAGATTTATTTTGCTACTTAAATAATCCTTGCATCTAAATCTTTCTGAGTTTGCCGCTTTTTTCTTTCAATTTAACTCCTTTGTTAAGGGCTAAAACTTTCAAAAGCATCTAAAGGTAACATGGTTACAGTTATTTGAGTGTTTAACTCCTGCTGTTTTCAGTGGTGGGGAGGGGGTCAGATATATAAATACCTTAGAAAATCCGTCTTTGAGTAACTTAGTCCTATTTTCAACAGTAGCAAAAACACTTAAGAGCCCCATTGACCTTCTGTGAGATGGGAGACCCTTCTACACATGCAAATTAAAGCTCAATAGCAATCAGTTATAGAGTTAGTATACATTTTCAAAGTCTAACTTTATAGCTGGTTGGAGTTTTTTATGGTGTGATAGCTACTTTGCACGTCACTGGTTTTAAGGTAATTGCACAATTAACCCATTAACTGCGCAATACCTGTAACATGGTGCGGGGGAGGGCTTAGGCTCTTCAGTGCCTCTGTCCATTTAAAACATGGAGCTTAAGCTCCTAGATCACTTTGAAAATGTTACCCAGGATCTCTTTTTTTTAAAAGAAAGAGCAGTTCAAATTTATAACACAACAGGCCCGGTTCAGTAAGAGATTTTATTGCTCAAGGAATGCTGAATTGAGTTAACCCTAATAGATTGTGCAGCTAGAAAATGGGAAATGAACCATTTTCTTTTCCACAAGTCATCACTTAAAACCTAGCCTAGTTTGATAACAATTAGAAGTTGTAAAACAGTTCATGACTGTATAGCCCAGGGGTTTTCAACCTTTTTTGGTCAGGGTATCCCTGGCGACTGGTCTAGAAGTGGGGAGTCTCCCAGCAGCCAGTCGATGAGCAGGGGGGAGAGGGGGACCCCCCACGCAGCACATGGCAGCAAAACCAGAAGCGCCACCAGCAAAACCAGAAGTACTGGCGGCTTCTCTGCACCACTGCCGTGTACCCCTGGGGCCTTCCAAAGTACCTTCCACATCTCTGGGGTGCAGCGTGTCATCTCTCACCATCTTTGTACCTAGTGGAAAGTCAATGAGAACAAAGGTCTGTTATTCATGAGGTTCTGAGCACTTCTGACATCCTATGCATATAAATTCAGTGATCATGAAATGAACTGATGGTTTCAATGCTGTTTCTAATGGATAAATGGCCACATTGCCATAATGCCACTTCAGCTGGAGCTAACTGATGCATTTTCTGGAAGACTCATCAGATGCTCAAGAACAAATATGCCATGAGACTGGTCTCCCCACTAAGGTGGAACCTGCTAAATTAGACCTGAGGCAAGATGGTGCGGAGCAGGCCAAACTGGTTCCTGTCCTGTAGGCCAGTAAATGATTCCTGTCTGGGACTGCTGACCCAGCACTTAAAATCACTTAGAAATCTTTACAAATCTCTAGATGCATTAAATGCCCCATAGGAGGATTAAAAACTTACCTTAAACAATTTTCTCCTTCGTGCTTTCATTGAGAGACTAATTTGGGGCCTGATCCAGACTCTGTTCAGTGTAATGAAAGAATCCAATTGATCTGACTGAGCTTTGGTTAAATCTTGTACATTCAGCTTCTCCTAAAATGTTGTGTACATTAGCTGTGGCTGAACTCTTGGTATGTCTACAACAAATTATTGTCATTCGTTTTCTCCTGGCTTAATTTGCAAAGCGAAACTGTGTGTTGGTTGTTTTTATATAGGAAGAAACAAAAACATGTATGTGATGGAAAAAAATACTGACATTTGTTTTATATCATGTTATTCAATACAGCAAGGTCCATCTTTTTCTTACGTGAGTAACTTAGACTGTTCAATGTGTGTTTAAGGCACTGAGTGTAGATCTGCATGCTATTGTTGCACCCAAAAAAATCAGAAGTGGTTTTTGTTGGAATATATATTGTATCACATGACAAAAAGCAACAATAGCACCAAATGTTCACATGTACTGGCCCTAACTGTGTCAGGCTCCATGGTAAAGGATGAGGTCTGACACATGGAGGGTTGTCTTTCAAATATCACTGTGTTTTATATGTGTGTGATCAAATTTTTGCAGTTTGAATTAATTTTCTCACGATCCTGAAAGAGCCAATCAGCCTGAAATTTGACAATATAATTTATTAATGGAAATACTCTTTGCTTCAGGTTGAACTTTTTAGGACTGTTGTGAAATAATTGCCAAACCATCACAGTGTGTGATTGATTTGTAACTTTGGCTGCATGGTTTCCATTTGATATTGCTTACAATTCTGCATTTTCATGTAACGTGTTGAGCATTATGCATGTCTGCAAAACTTTGCATGTTCTCCAACTTACTTCTGCAATACGTAACAATACAAAAGGGCTCTATTTTGACTTCTGAGATGCCATCAGTGTGTTTCTTGAGATGCAAGGTTGTTTGAGAGATTCTACTCAGGCTTTATCTCCATTACTTGTGACTGTAGTTGGTCCTTCATTTGCCAAGCTACTGGAGATATATCTCATTCCATTTCTTTCTGTGATGGAATAAATTCAATTCAGGCATAGGTAAGTCTTGAGGTTTTGTAAAGGTCACAGGTATACACTAGCTAACAGTTAGGACTTGAAATTATATATCCGTAACTGAACAACGTAGCAAGCTTGCAGTAGGAGACTATGGGTCTTCTTCCATCTTTAGCAGCCCATGGAAGTTTCTTTTATAGTGATCAGCTACTTCAGTAGTATCCTATGCTTCTAATGGGTTTACACCCACTCTTGCAACAGTGGGGTTGTTATAATTGCAAAGTATTATCTAAAATAATTGTATGGTGAAGCCCAGTAGCAGCCTTGTTCAGAGAGCATTGTCCACACTCCACAAGTTTTTATTTTTAGGAAGTTATTTTTAACTTCAAGGTTCTTGTGTTAACTTGTTCATTTGCTAATCTCTCTTCCTCTTTCAGCTACTAGATAGGTATTTTCATAATGCAGCCTTGTTTAGACCATTAGCTACAAACTGAATATCTAATCAGCAATCCTGCCTCCCTCCACCTATCATATACATGCAGAAGAATTTAGCAGGGAGATAATGATCAGTTGACTTTTTTTTACAGTCAGGCTTCTTTACTTTCACACAAAATGTGAGATATCTAGAATGTCTGCAGTGGTGTTTAGAACAACAGTCAGTAGCTTTATACCAAGAATGGCCTTATAAATAGAGCTTTTATGGACCGCATTTTTCTGTTGTTGGCAAATGGTCACTTTCTAAATTGCTTCCCTTAAACTCAGTCCAATTCTGCCTTAATTACTTGTTCACATTGGTGTTAATAAAATCTTATTATTCTTCTACTTAGAAAGTTTTCTGCTTTTAGGGAACTGTTTATTTGATTTGAATTTTATACAAAGTTGCCTATTACTGCAGGAGAAAAAGCAAATGTTGATAGAGATTTTGAACATGAAAGTAATATAGATTTAGAATGAGAACATAGCAATTCATTAGAAGATGACATCACAGAGTTATTATTTTCAGCATTGTTTGGTCTAGGAGCAGGATTATTAAGTGCATACATGCTTTCATTGCTTGGCTTGTTTAATTATCAGTTACCATCACAGTTAACAATATAACAGTGTGTTTGTGTGTTTGCATGAGAATCCATTATTCTGTTTTGAAACAAAGTAATGCATTTCCATATTCAACCTAAATAGCCCTGCATTTAACATTATTAATAGACTCAATGAAATCTGCTTTGTAGCTTTGTGTTGCATTATATTAAAATTATTCTTGCCAAGTTTTTTCTAATTACATCATCATTTGCTATCAAAGGACCTCAGTACACTAACTTGGAAAAATATCTCAGCAGGTTCCTCTAGAGGCATCATTGTTCCTTGTAATACAGTAAAAAAAATGTAATTGTCACTGACTGGCCCTTATCATTAAGTCAAACAAGAAGTATTGATAAAAAGATGAACAGACTTTGATCTGCAGCAACCAACACTGCTGGGAAAAGGTCTTGTATATAGAACATTAGTACAATGAACTGCACCATTGTATAAACACAATGATTAACAGAGCAATGGAACCAAACCCACATTAAGTGCATTAATAAGCAATAGTATGTTTAAAAGCTTCAATCAACATTGTTTGAGATTTTTTCTCTGGGGTACACAGTTGCTGTTTTTCAGTTAAATAATTACTGAGTTCAGGGTTAACTGAATCTGAATGAATTTTAGGGTGAGCTGGAAAAACAGCTTCTACAGGCAAACCCTATTCTTGAAGCTTTTGGAAATGCCAAAACCGTGAAGAATGACAACTCCTCCAGATTTGTAAGTAACAGAAGTGCTCTCCATGTGCATGCATATGTCTGTGAGTGGTATAATACTTGTCAGTGGCATCCTGTAAAAACAAAATGTGCAGATGGTTGCAATGCTTCTACCATAAGTGTCTTTACATAAAGAGATTTCCCCATAATTACCCCCTTAAAGATATTGTTTAGTATTTCTCTCTGAATCATTAATTTGGCTTTTTAGAAGAGAACAAAACAAACTCAAACTTGGCTGTGCTGTTGTCTCCACAAGTTTTAGCAGCACATGCACATGGCCTCCCAGAGGCAACCACCAGAGCTTGTTGGTTTAATATCCACCTCCAGAACGTTTGCAAACCAAATCTGTACTTCTTTTTTCTTCACAGAAGATGATGATCTGTAGTTGAGCATGCCGGTTATGTAGCAGGAGTGGTTAGCACATGAAATTAATAACTACAGAACAGAAAAGGGTACATAATCAGAAATTTTGCACTTGACTGTATAAACTGCGATGTTGTTTTCAAAAGCTCTCAGCATTGCCTAAATCTGCTGTTGGTGATGTGACTTCAGCATGGGGCAGTTAAAGCACACTGAGCACTTTTGAAAATTGCACTTATAGAATATGTTAGTTTCAATATTAAATGTTAACAAGAAAAAATATAACTGACTTGTATAATTTTTCGACTCTGCTATAGTCTGCTATATTTGTTTAAACGTTGCAGTCTAAATCCTGACATGACCATCTTAATCCCCAGTTTTGCAAATGGGTCTGTACTGACTGACCCAATAACTTTAACATGATTGTATCCATGTACCAGGATTCACTCACATGGAGCCAATTGCAGGATTGATTCTTCCTGCATACATTCTGTATATTAATCCTCAGATCCCTTTAAATGTTGCTTTAATTAGCCCAGCCTGTAAAAGGTTCATGGACTTCCTATGTTCTGCTGCTACAGAAGAAATTTCTGATTTGTTGATACATGTCCTTTCTCTTTGCTGGCAACAAAGTTGCCTTATTAGGCAGTCCAAATTACCCATGTGTCTAGAACAGAAAGGTCTTGACTGTCCATACTTGAGGTCTTGGGATTTAATCCAACTCCCACTAAAGTCAATAGAAAGACTTTAACTAAGAAGCATAGCCTAAGACTCATTTTTAAAAGTGCCTTGTATATAAAATTATATATATATTTGCATATGTATATATACCTTTGGTTGAAACTATATGACTTAAGTTTACCCAACCTGCTTTTTTTGGTAAAATTACTATCTAATGAACATATTTTGTGCTCAGTGCTCTTCCCAGTGGAAAGACTCCCCACCAAGCCACCAATCCCAGGCTGGGCAAAAGCATTAGTCAAGCTTAGGACTGAGTCCTTTTGTCTTGCACCAAAACAAGTAATTTTTGTAGAAGCAGCAAGAGGTTGTTGCCGAGAGTGGTTCTGCCTGGGTCTTCAGCTGCACAGCATCCAATCACAAAGCTGCTTTGGTTTAAAATTGTTCATAGTTTCCATGGCAGACCAATCTAATCTCCTTGTATATGCAATATTATCACAGCTGCCAAATTAGCCAACATACCAGGGAGTAAGCCAGTGACATCCAGTGCTAAAATACAAGCTGCACAGCTTGAGGTAAAGGACCAGAACTCTGTATGTTGGGACTTTAACAAACTCTGTGGTTTGGGCACAGACACGGAGCTGTGATATGTACTCCACATCACAATATGTTTTTATTATTTCAATTGACCTGAGATAATAGGTACCAAAAGACCTTATACTGTAAGTACTTACAAGAAAACCAAATTATAAAATGATAGGGAATCCCACACTCATCCACCCTCAGGCAAAAAAACATTCTTCTCCCACACGCCTAAGACTTACAGCAGACCAGATTATTGTCAACTCAATCTGCCTCCTTTCGGTCTGCTGGGGTGGCATAGGTGCTAACAGGCTAGAGGTCATGAGTTTGAGGCCCTAGCGGAAGCACTTATGGCATGGCCCTGCCAGATGCCAACAAATCTATGATTTCTGCTAAATACCTCTTCACAAGAACACAGAAAAGGAAAGGATAAGGCCACAGATTGCGGGGGGGGGGGAAGGCAGGAAACAGGTGAAAACAGGCTGAGTCATTCAGTCTCATCACTGGTGCTGGATAAAGGAAGGTAGAAATATAAGATCTTTAGCCACATGCAAGGCTGGTGTGATAAGTGGAGTAGCTGCTGAGTATGATCCAGCAGGGAGTGATTTCTCTCTTTCAAGGTGTCCAGATGAAACCTTCAGGGGCAAATCTTTGTAGGGAGATTCTCTTAGAAGCTCACTTTCCTTCAGCCCTCTCCCAAGTGGTTTGCTGCATGACATAACATGGCTTTTAAAATATGCTAAACAACACAACAAAGAAAAAGTCCAAGCTGTGTCCTTTTCTCATTGATAGGGCAAGTTCATCCGCATTAACTTTGATGTTACTGGCTATATAGTTGGAGCAAACATAGAAACTTGTATCCTTTTCAGTGAGCTGCACTGGTAAGTAATGAGGGCAAGCGCAAGGGAGTAGTATAAACAAGCTCCGCATCATGTCTAAGAAAGGCAAATACCACTGCAGCCGGTATAAACAGAGGGAGGGAAGTGGCTCCATTTATGCTGATACCAGTTTCTCAGTTTGTCTTGCTCTCATGTTTATGTATTCTGATCAGACTCATCACGGTCTATTTTCTCCCTTATAGGACAGACTGCCTCCTTCCCCATGCAAAGCTTTGCCGTTACTAACAGCATATCCTGGCCAATCAGAGTCCCAGTCAAATAATGCACATAATACATCAGTAAGAGAGTTCTGTGGGTTAAGACTAGGGTGACCATACGTCCCAGATTGGCCAGGACAGTCAGTCCCAAATTTTGCAAGCCATCTGGTCTTCCCAGCCATTGGTGTAAATTAAAGCTAAAGTCCTGGATTTGTTTGCTGCTGCTTGCACTGCCCAGCTGGGCTCCTGCTAGGTGGAAGTGGAGGGATGGAGGGGCCTCGGCACCACTTCTGCCTGAAATGGGGGTCAGCTGAGGTGGGGCAGGGCAGGCCAGGAAAGGGGGCCGGGGCTGGGGCTTGAGCACCTGCGTGGGTGAGCCAGGATGTGTCTTGCTGCTGCAGCTTCTGCTGAGGCCTAGGCTGTGCATGGTGATGCCAGCTGACTGGTGGTGGGGTGGACAGGGGCTGCTCCTAGCCGGGTCCAGCCGTAGGCCTTCTAATTGTTCTGCCCCGCCGTCAGGACTCCTGGGAGCCACAGGGTTGGGAGGGTGCATATGTGCATGTGCGCACATGTGTATACATACAGTGTTTTTCTGATTAGCCCTGCTCCTGGGATGCATTGTGGGGAGAAGGGGGCAGTACATGCATGCATGGCTCCCATTCCAGATTTCCCTGAAATTATTATGGTCACCCTAGTTAAGACCACGCTTGGATGTGGGAGCCATACATTCACTTTTAGCTGTGCCTCAGTGTGTCCTCAGCCAGGTAGCTTCATCTCCCTGTGTCTTAGTTTCCCATATCTAGAACAGAGATAATATTTCCCAGCTTCTCAGTGCTATTTGTGAAATGTCTAGGTACCATGGTGGTGAGGCCAGGTAACAAATAGATAGATTCAAAGAAATCACAGCTTATAGTCCATTATGGAGACAATTCATACAATGCCTAGTATAGCAGGGTCCCAGTCCACAACTGAGGTGCTGATCCCCACATCCTATCCCAAAGCAAATAGTACCTGATATGATGGCTTTACTTTTTCTTCAGAGAAATTAGAGTATGCAAGCACTATTATGTCTCATACATCTATCAGGCAAGATTTCCTGTCTTGGACAGTCTTCCTTTTGTGTGTGTGTGCTGCAAAAAAAAGCTTGTCAGGGCTGCTTTGTCCTTGGTTCTCAGAGCAGCACTAGAAAGACGCAAACATTTTGTCCCTGGAAAGCACTAGATTGCACCAAACACTGGACATTTGCAAACAGTTTTTGAGGGCTGGATGCTTCAGACCTCCCACATATCTCTTCTTCATTCTCCATTTAAAATGACCCACACTGAATGCTGCGCTATATGCCAATAAGCTCAGTGTATTTTTCAGGAAAAACGTGTAAACATTTCCAGCAAAATGTAACATAACACAGGTTTGTTTGCAAAGTATGGTGGCCTTTCTCTTTCCTTATGCTTATGAGAAACTGTTTTGTTTTAAAGGAAAAACAAATGCATGGTTAGATTCTTAAGTGCTTTGCTCCTTTACTTTGCAGTATATTTAATCCAATAGATGAAGATTTATCACAGGCTCTGGAGAACGAGTTTCTCTGTCCAATATAGAATCAACAGCATTTCACAAAGCTGAAACAGTTTATTAGACACAGCTTTCTTCCCCTTGTTTCTGAGGCAAGTTATACTGAAGGACAGAGAAAATGTTGGCAGCTTGAAAAATTATGGTTTAAGAACTAAGAAACTGGTTCTGTTCCCACTGAGGCCCAGGATGCAAGATGAAGAACTTAAAAGCACTGATATGGCACCATTTTTTACAATGATATGCTTGCAGAGTGGGGAGGCATATTTATATTATTGCCAGCTCTAATTTTAGCAGGTTGGGTAATCATTTAAAGGTAATGAACAATACATTTTACTTGTATATCTAAAACGCTGGTCTAGAAACTGATACTGCTGGGCAGGTGTTAGGATGACTAGACACAGGAGTTGATGCTGAAAAAGAAAACTAGGATACGATTCTGCAATGTGTTTCACTTGAAGGAAGATATCACAGCATGACCTGACAGGTATCATATAACCTATTTACATAGACATAATTCTGCAAATAGTTAGGTCTAGCTGTAACATCTACCAACTAAATTAACAGCATTTATCATACAGTAAAAGATGTGATATGGGATTGTTGTACTAACTAAACACAGTATTACCCAATGGTAGTAATACTGTACTGTGAATGATACAACTAAGCAATAAGCATTGTGCCTGGTATTAAGTGACTGCTGAAGCAAGTGTATTTTGATGTTAGTCAGAGACAACAAATATCTTACAGGTGCTCCTAAAGGTGCTACTGCAGGGGGTTTTATGAGGATGTGCTAATTGAAATATGCTGTTCAGATTTTCTTTAACATAAATGACAAATAGATTTGCTGGAAAAGTCCCGTGCTATTCGCCAGGCTAGAGATGAGCGGACGTTTCATATCTTTTACTACTTGCTCGCGGGAGCTTCTGAACAAATGAAAAGTAAGTTTCTTGCTAATGATCTTAGTTTAAATTGGACAATCTGAGCTTAGTCGCTAATGACTCAGTTAGATAATTGATCTTAATTCCTCCATTTGTAATGTCACTCAGTCCTTGCTATGCATAACTATTTCCTTGGCTAATCTAAACAATTCCACTCATATTACATTTATAGAAAACACCTCATTTTATGTGCATCTGTTCATTACTGGTGGTTTGCAGTTCAACAGTTACCCCAGAGGGAAGCAAGGAAGGTGCAAATTCCTAGGGATAAAAAGGCTAAATAAAATTGTGGAATTTTCATCAGAAAATGCATCAAGGAGAAAAAGCTTGATGAGAGTGCAAAGTGCCTTATAGCATGTGATGTAAATGAAGCTATAAGGTTCATTCCAGCAGCTAAGAGTTGCTAAGATTAAGTAGGCTTTAGGCCTCCCACTCTTATAGGCAACTATCAGTTTACATCGTTCAAAAATTACTCCTAAACGTAGGCACATAAAACTTGAGGCATCCAAAAATCACTAGTCAGTTTTGAAAATTTAGTCTGTCATGCAAGTACAGCCAACATCTCTTAAATGAAGGGAAACCTCAGTTGGCCAGATCACTGATTTTTGTCTTTGTTGGATCAATGAAAAAGGCTTAATTGTCCAGAGAATTGAAGACTTAACCAGACTGAACACTCTGGTGAATCAAAGCTGACACCATTCACTAGCATTCTAGTTGTTGTTGGGTTTTTTTTTTTAATTTTCTTTTTTCTTACCCTTTAAATCATTTTTCTTCCAACTTTTAGGTGAATTATTGCTTGAAGGTTTCAGCAACTATACCTTTTTATCTAATGGCTATGTGCCTATTCCTTCTCAGCAAGATGATGAGATGTTCCAAGAAACCTTGGAAGCCATGACAATTATGGGTTTCACTGAAGAGGAGCAGACTGGTAAGAATTGGTAGTAAGCTGTAAATCAAGTAAATGACCTACAGCATCAATGTATAGCACCGAGAAAAATTGGCAGTAGCATAACTAGGGGTGGGAGAAAGGAGCATCTGCCCCAGGCAACAAGTTAAAAGGGGTACTGGTATCACCCACTCCCACCGAAAAGGATCAGAGTGAGGCAAACATGGCACATCTTTGAAAATCCTAGGTTTAAATTGGCAAGAGCCTGGCTTATCATTCAGTTGTAAGATGTTGAAAATTTACTATGTGCATTAGAATTTGAGCAAATAACTCTGATGTTATAGTTCTTTATAATGCACAAAATAAGTACCAATATACTGAACAGTGCAGTGTAGTAATTTAAATGTGGCTGAACTGAAATCATTTCTACAAATGTTTTCGGTCTGTTTTAGTGATTAATTACAAAGGGTTTTTTTCATCAATCTTATAAATTATGAGTCCCAGGAAAGCTGCTTGTAGAAGGAACATCACATGCATTCCAAACCCTTGCGAATTCCAGACAATCGGTACAGTTGTCAGCATGCACTAGTATTATAACAATTAGCCCTTTGAAAAGTAACACATGGCTATTAAATGAGAGACTTTTTAAGCATTCTTGCCAAAAGACTACATACATGCTCAGTACAGGTGGCTGGGTTCAGGCCAGCTCTAACAGTATTAATGACCATTTAAAGCTAATTTTAGGTGTTTTCTAGGAATGATGCCCAAGAAGAAAGTTGCAGAATGTTATGGTTTAATTCTGAAAGTAATGGGCCTGTTTTGAACAGTTAATATGTATATTTGTAGATTCAGGGCAGAGGAAAACAACTTAGAACTGATTTCAGAATATATGCCTGGCAGATGTGAATTGAATAACTCTAGCAACTCTTGCTATTCATATGAACATATTTTTGAGTGTGTGTATGTGTGTGTCTCCTGATTGTCTGAATTTTCATGCTTGAGGTGACACCTACTGGCCAGAATAATGAGGATCTTGTCACTTGACCATATCAATCAAAATGGAGTCTGTGGGTACTACGAAGTGCAGAGCATCATTAGCTTCCACTGGCTTAATTAGTAATTGAAGATGATAACCCTGTTGAGAGAGAATGTTGCATCTTGCTGGATTGGGGCATAAATTCTGGCCTCAGCCAATTCCATTCAAATTTAGGAGGGGGATTGATGTTTGTACTGCTCCTTGACATTGATGGAATTTTCTGAGTTAGCATTTTGTTTTGAACCCTAAAATATTAATCTGCTAAAGACTCAATATTCTCCTGTACAAGCATATTAACAGAATCAGCTCCCTGAAATATAACCCAGTTTATGAAGTGACAGTGTACTTTAATATATGATGTAATGCAGTGTTATGTTAATGCAGAGATCCTGAAAAGACATGCACAAGCAAAGTTAAACATGTACATAAGTTTTTCCAAGAATAGGGTCTTAAATTGCTACAAAAATATTTTACACTGAAAACAGTTTGCAAATACTTTTGATTTTAAAAGTAGGTTTAAGACTGTTACTATGGAGTAACACACTGTACATTTCTAAACTGCGCAAGATTACTATCAGAAAGGTCCACTGATAGCTGACTGATCAAATGGTTCTGGATGCTATTCCTTGTTTCTGGATGTTAAAATACATTCAAAGTCATCTACAGATGTATTAACTATTTTCATAACCAGGGGCGACGTGTAGGGAGCGCATGCAGGTGCACGTGCACCCCCTGAGCGTGGCGGTGCACCCCCTGCAAAAAGGCGCTGCCAACACTGCCAGCAGAGCCTGCGGGCAGTTGCCACTCACCACCCCGCCACCAGCACTGCTGGTGGAGTCTTCAGGCAGTCAGCAATCCCTGCTGGCTGACAACAACACTGCCAGCGGTGCCTGCGGGTGGTCACCAACCCCTGCTCGCCACCTCTGACCACCAACAGTGCTGGCAGCCTCTGCAGAAGCTCCCTGCTCACCGCTGCCATGCTCCCACTGCCACCACTGCGCTCCCGCCACCGCAGCTGTGTCCCCCCAGCTGCTGGGGGCACATACCATTCATGTTCATAACATTACTTCTCTATTTAGTTACTTGCCTTAACTGTACATTTGGTGTTTTCCCCATATTATTCTGAAAGAGAAAGTCCATGCCTTACAAAATAGCTCAGAGTCTGTTTTGGTTTTATGTCTAGTGCTTATATTGTTGGAACTATGTCCCAATCTTCTACTCCTTAAATTTTCAATATTTATCTTGCAGCTATGCTGAAAGTAGTTTCATCTGTCCTGCAATTGGGCAATATTGTTTTCAAGAAAGAGAGGAATACAGATCAAGCTTCTATGCCAGACAACACTGGTATATTTTTTCTTTGATTGTCAATAAAATGAATGTTAAGTAAATGCATTTCTTATCAATTTCATTTGTGACTTCCGCTGATCCATTAGTTATTGAGAGATTCCATGCTTTAAATCAGCCAAATTAATGTTTATCTTACCTAGTGATCTTGAGTTCAGAAATTGCAAAATAATCCGTGTGTTTCTGGTATTGTGAAGGATACCTGTGGAATCACTTTTGCACATTCATAATGGAGATATTGTAATGGAAAGGATTAATTAGTTACATACTGGTTATACTGCTAGCATTTCATATTTGTTAACCCAGCAAGAAGAAAATGCATTGTGAAATGAAATTTTGCTCTTTTCATTGTAGCTGCCCAAAAAGTATGCCACCTGATGGGTATTAATGTGACAGATTTCACGAGGGCAATCCTCACACCACGCATCAAAGTTGGACGAGATGTTGTTCAGAAAGCTCAGACCAAAGAGCAGGTATTGGTTTGTTGAATGATACTAATGTTCGTTTTTTAAAAACAGTGATGATAATTGAAAGGACAGCCCTCTCCCTGCCCCACTTATTGTTCATTCAGAAATCACCATCTGATTTTGATTGCTTCATTCATTTCATTTTCTCACCTTCCCCCTAACAGGCAGATTTTGCAGTAGAGGCTTTAGCCAAGGCAAAATATGAACGTCTTTTCCGTTGGATTCTTGCTCGTGTAAACAAAGCTCTGGATAAAACAAAAAGACAAGGAGCTTCCTTCTTGGGCATCCTTGATATTGCTGGATTTGAGATTTTTGAGGTATGCACTGTTGGACACAAGGGGAACTCTTTAACTTCATGTTCATTGTCTATTCAGTCTGTTCATTTAGTTAATTTATTTCTCTCTGTTTTTCTAAATGTCTGAGAGGTGGATCCTACACTGAGAACCAAGTGGACAAGACCCCTACAGGGTCAATGAGTCCATTGGCTTTCATCACCTCTTCTGTTGTCAGTGGAAGACTGGGATTTTAGCTAGCATGATAGATCTGTATAGGCTGGGAATACACTTAGCACTTGGCATTTGTAAGCACCTAGTTTGGGTATATAGACGTAGGAAGAGAACAGACTTCTGCTTTTTTAGTGATGAAGAACTGTATATACAGAAATGCTGACAATTACATCCAGAATTGAAAAAAAACCAAAAAACTTAATTGTTCATGGTTAACCTACTGAATAACAGGTTAACGACTTTTTTTTCCAGAGAAAGCCCAGACCAGGTTACTAGAATTTATTCTGCTGCTAACTGAATGATCATTGCTAGGAAAAGAAATAAAAGATTGCACATTCCTTTTATTGTACAAATTATCCAAATTGTACATATCTTTTTAAGGTTAGTAATTTGATCCTTTTGCCCTGTTTTCAGATCAATTCTTTTGAGCAGTTGTGCATCAACTACACTAATGAGAAACTTCAGCAGCTTTTCAATCATACAATGTTCATACTGGAGCAAGAGGAATATCAGCGTGAGGGTATTGAATGGAATTTCATTGATTTTGGCCTTGATCTGCAACCCTGCATTGAGCTGATTGAAAGACCAGTAAGTTTCCAAGTGTATAGGAGAGATCCTGTATAGACAGCTGTGATGAGGCAAACTTCCAGGCCCGAACTCAGTTTCGACCTGCCTCCTGTCTATGAGCAAACTGCCTACCTTGCTTGCCTGCCATGCCTTGTTGTAATTTAATTGAGGTGTTAATTAGGCAGGAGGGTGCCCTTTGAGCACCCATTGTTAGAGGGTGATATGTACATGCTCCGACCTCTCCTTTTACGACCTCCCGTGCCGTGCAGATAACACACTCAGTCTGGTAGTACTCTGGCTTGAGGCTGGGCCAGACTCAGTACAGAGTTAGGTCTCTGACTTACCACCCTGTTCTGGGCCACACTTACATTACCCCTCTCTCATTAGGGCCTCTTCCACTCCACCTGCTCTCAGCAGGCCTTTTCCACACCACCCATCCTGGGACTCTATCACACTGCCTTTGCTCCCGTGAGCAATGCTATAGGGCCATCAGGCTTAACTCTTCTCCCCTTGACCAGCCCTGACACAGCCTTTTGGGTCTCTCCCGTGACCCTTATCTGAGTAGTGGCTGGTCAGTTATCAAACACTGGGCCAACTTCGCCCCTAGCCCCTCACTGGGCTTCACGCTATTCTTGCCCCTTCCTTGGGGCTCCCTCTCTGCCCTCTCACTAGGGCTTTGCCCCCTCTTTGGAGTTACCACTCTGCCCTCTCGTTAAGGCTTGGGGTCCTCCACCCCTGCAGACTCAGGTGCCTTCTCACAGCACACCTGGCCCACCTCACCAGGGTCCTCCACCCCTTTAGGGCTCAGGAGCTTCAACTGGCCCCACCCCCTCCCCCCTTTGCTCACATACTACCCACCAGGGGGTGGGGACTAGAGTTATTAAGGCTCCCTGACCTGCCTTTCACTGGGGAGGTTTGCGGTCCTGGTATTTAGAGGCACTGTGCCACCACAGGCAGTCCCACCAGGCCTCTCTGCCCCACAGTTTTAGGTCATGCCCAGGACCAGGGGCCTCCAGCCATCCCCATAGCCCCTTCCCTTACCTCCAAGCTGTTCCTGGAGCAGTAACTCAACTAGGTGATGTTTCTCCCTTCCTGGCTGGCAGTAAACTGCTGCTCCAGCCTTGAGAGCTGGATATCAAAATGGCCACCCTAATCAGGCCCCTGCTGGCTGCCTGCTCCAGCCCTTAAAGAGACAGAACACTACAGTTGCTCTGTCACAGCAGATTAGGGGATTAATGCAATCCAACAAGCAGCTTGTATAAGATTTGGGGGATCCATTGCTGTATGGCCAGTTTAAGAACATGGAGGAAATAGAAGATGGAGTTATTTTATTGCAATGATTGACTTGTGTATGCTGATATACTGCTGCTCACTTTACAGAACAACCCTCCTGGTGTCCTGGCTCTCTTGGATGAAGAGTGCTGGTTCCCCAAAGCCACAGACACATCCTTTGTAGAGAAACTCTGTCAAGAACAAGGCAACCATACCAAATTCCAGAAACCCAAACAACTCAAGGATAAAACAGAGTTCTCCATAATCCACTATGCAGGAAAGGTATTGGATAAGACTAAACTATTTCACTATTACAGCTTTTAATTCTGATGCTCAAGTGGTAAAAAATACACCCAAGATTAAAAAGATTGGCAAGAAATGGAATCAAAGTCCTTGAATTGATTTACAGTAGCTGGAGTAAAACGTAGCATAGAGACTGGTATTTTCTTAAACATTCCCTGTTGCCCTAACTCAGCTGAAGTTAAGGCAACAACGAAACCCATAAGAGCAGAATTATTCAGTGGTGAGTACTCTGAAAATCACAAAATAGTAGAGATTCCCTGATAGGAATATGGCTGCAGGACTGGCACCCTGAAAAGCCAGTCGCATGTATAGTGGGCATTTCATGTTGTTTTTGTTTTTCATTAGCTGAGTTGCAGGAGTGCCAAATCAGGATCAGGACCATCACTACTGAAATTTTTCACCGAGCATAGGTTTCTAAATGAGTGATATTTTCTAAAGGTTAACTACGATGCGAGTGCCTGGCTTACGAAGAACATGGATCCATTAAATGACAACGTGACTTCTTTGCTCAACCAGTCTTCGGACAAATTTGTAGCAGATCTTTGGAAAGATGGTATGAATCTGAATTCTAAACTTGTAATATGTTATGGATGGCTAAGGATCATTCTTTGGAAAACAGTTCTGATTGCTTTTCATCCCAGGTACAGGACAAGGCAATAAAATACAAAGGATAGAAGTTACCAAGCCATTAACATCCTATTCCCCAACCTTTGAAAATTCTACAAAATAAACTCCTTGTGGAAAGTATTTTAAACAGAAACTAATCAATTTCTTCCTTAAAAATAACATTTAAAAATATCAAGATGAAGATACAGCATTCAAGTGTTGCTGAGTATATCACACTGGGCAGTTTATTCGATTTAAGTTATTTTTGCTGTTTAAAAATGATTGTGTGCAATCTGTGTGGTCACCGCCACTGAAGTATAGTTTAAACTACATTTGAGTGAGCCAAGGAAGAATGTGTGTATGTGTGTGTGAGAGAAAGACTACATAGTACTTTAAAACCAAGCAAATTACACAAATGTAAGATTTGATGTATTATTATTAAATAGCAATAATATGTAAATAGCAGAACCCTGTTTTTTTTCTGACTGGCGTAGGAAAGAACCTTTGGATTTTCAGGGGAGATGGCTCTGAAGGTTTTGAAGGAGTATGGCTCAGTGGATAGTATACTAGGGTGGGAGTCAAAAGTATGGCTTCATTTCCTCATTCTGGCATTGACCCACTGGACAACCAGTTTCTTGACATATAGGCCTTGTGAGAAATGATCAATTAGATCAGACTGAAGTAATGTACGCATCCTCTACATTGACTCTGCATTCAGAAGCACTTTTTTCTGTTGTCTGGTACTGACAACTACATTTTCAGTGCTGACACAGAGGCGGCTCACTAAATAGGTCTTACGATTATAATCTTTTCTATTGCAGTTACTACTATTGCTAATTCTCATTTCTGTAGTGCCATCAAAATACTATATTTTTACTTTATGTTAGATCTTAACCGAACATGCAGAACAGCTAGTGTCAGAAATAATGAACTTTGAAGACAGTTCATGTGAGAGGTTCCGTTCATATTTGCTTTTTCATTTCAGTTGACCGTATAGTGGGGCTGGACCAGATGGCAAAGGTGACTGAAAGTACCCTTCCTAGTGCTTCAAAAGCCAAGAAGGGCATGTTCCGTACTGTTGGGCAGCTGTACAAGGAGCAGCTGACTAAGTTGATGACCACCCTAAGAAACACGAATCCAAACTTTGTCCGTTGTATCATTCCAAATCATGAAAAAAGGGTAAATAACAAATGCTGAAGTTTTCAAATTTGGAATATGCTACATTAATTTTGTAAAATTCTACTTGTTGTTATAATAACAAACTAAATGCCAGAGCGATGTCTGCCACTGCACATATCCCGTCTGAATGTTTACCTTCTTTTCTCAGTTACTTTGTGTGCTATAACTGTAAAATGCCCTCATTTCACAGGCTGGCAAACTGGATGCCCATTTAGTGTTGGAGCAGTTGCGATGCAATGGTGTCTTGGAAGGCATTCGTATCTGCCGACAGGGATTCCCCAACAGAATTGTCTTCCAGGAATTCCGCCAGCGGTAGGACACCTATATACTAACTTACGTTTCAGATGCTGCTGTAAGCATTTGGGCTGACTGAAAATCAGATCAGATCTGTGCTAAGTCATCTGTTTTTAACTTCTCTGCCACCTTTGTTTACAGATATGAAATTCTTGCTGCAAGTGCTATTCCTAAAGGATTTATGGATGGAAAACAGGCCTGCATACTGATGGTGAGCAAAGTCAGGACATACATTTTACATGGAAATGGTTACTTCCCTGAAAACAGTATAAAGAGTATTCTGTCAAAAGATATTTTGAGACTCTACTGTAACAACAGAATCAATGCAATGTTTTTATTCCTTTCCCTGCAGATTAAAGCATTAGAACTTGATCCCAACTTGTTCAGAATTGGACAAAGTAAAATCTTCTTCAGAACTGGTGTGCTGGCTCATCTGGAAGAGGAGAGAGATTTGAAGATCACAGATATCATTATTGCTTTCCAGGCTCAATGCCGAGGCTACCTGGCAAGAAAGTAAGCCCCTTTCCTCAGCAACAAAATAATGTCTGTGGCAATAATCTATATCTGTACTGAAGTATGTAGTTGTTTGCATTACAATTGAGGATTTGTTAATACTGCATGTGGTTTGCATGCATTACATGTTTCATTTACATGTGAGAAGAATCTTGTCTTGTTCCTAACAGATGACTAGCATGGTAAATCTACTTAGACATCAAGCTATTTGGAGGAAGGACTATCTCCTTTGAACGTGTTTGTACAGCATCTAGCATGTGGGAATCCTTATCTATAACTGGATTTTAAGTGCTGCTACAATACAAACAGTACAGCTCCTGATATAAAATATTGAACCTACCATTCTACACCCTGAGCTTGAAGCACCAAACATTTGAATCACCTGGCCTTTTTTCCTAATTAATTTGAGCATCCTGAGCAGTCTAGGAGCTCAAATCCAACCACAAAAACTTTAGCAGTAATGACCCTTCCCCTATATTCACAAATAAATTCACCTTCCCCTATATTCACCTCATACTATTGAACAAACATTTTTCAATATAGTATGATTAAATGTTGAAATTGAACACAAAGTCTAGATCTGAGGACTTGTACCCTGGAAAGGTCCATCTCCCAAACTAGGTCCATTGTTGGTGGCTTGAGCCCACTTCTGTAATTAGACCATTTCAAAAATTATCTGGATTTGGGTGTCAGAAGTGGACTGGCTACATTTGCAGACGACACCAAATTATGGGGAAGTGTGGTCACGCTAAAGGATAGGCAGGCAATTCAGGTGGTACCTGGACAGGCTCACAAAGTGGGTGGATCAAAACCTGATGACATTCAACACAGAGAAATGCAAGGAGAAAAAAACCCTCGGGAGATAAAACCCACATCATACTTATAGGCTCGGCAGTGCTACACTTGCTAGCACCATGACCAAAAGAAACTTGGGGGTCATGATTGACCCCAAGATGAACATGAGCCACCAATGTGATGCCACAGCCAGCAAAGCAAATAAAACTCTGGCTTGCATCTACCAATGCATCTCAAGCAAGACCCAAGAAGTCATCTTCCCGCTTTACTCGGCCATGGTGAGGCTGTAGCTGAATGACTGCATCAACTTCTTGGGTCCATGCTTTAGAAAGGATGTGGAGAAGATTGAGGGAGCCCAGAGAAGAGCCCACACACATGATTAGAGATGAAGAGAACAGGCCTTATGAGAAGCTGAGACCCATGGGACTCTTCAGCCTGGAGAAGTGAAGGCTCAGGTGGCAGCCTATAAATATATTAGGGGTGTGCATCATGAACTGGGAGAACATTTATTCACCAGGGCACCTCAAGGGAAGACCAGGTCTAATGGTCATAAACTGCTGGAAGACCGTTTTAGGCTGGCCATAAAGAAAAACTTCTTTACCGTCCGAGTCTCCAGAGTCTAGAATAGACTCCCCCCAGAAGTGGTGCAAGCACCTACTCTGGATACCTTTAAGAAATGCTTGGATGCTTATCTTGCTGGGGTGATCTGACCCCCACTGACTTCTTGCCCCTTGGGTAGGGGACTGGACCCAATAATCTCGCAAGGTCCCTTCCAGCCCTAATGTCTGTGAAATCTATAAAAATAAAAACTGTGGGAACCACAAATCAGATGCGCTTTTTAAGTGACAGAAAAATTTGCAGCAGACATTTCAAACATTGCCACAGAATCAAGAGACTCACAGTCTGAGGTTGTTTCATTTGAATTAAGTGTATCCTGCAGCCAATTTCACTCTGTCCCATCAGATCAGTTGTAAAAAGTTATTTTGTCTTTAACCATAGAGCCTTTGCCAAGAGACAGCAGCAGTTGACAGCAATGAAGGTCATTCAGAGAAACTGTGCTGCTTATCTGAAGCTGAGGAACTGGCAGTGGTGGAGACTGTTTACAAAAGTGAGTGATTCTTGTTAAGTGAATTCTTCTTTAGCAGTTCACATTAGAAATAATGCATTAAGTCATGTTAGGACAAGGAAAAGTTTCTCTCATAGGGTCTACTCCAAAGTCACTTTCAATCAATGGCAAGACTTCATTGAGTTTTGGATTATGCTCATATTCAGGAAACCATCCAATGTATTTTTGGAATACTACTAAAAATATAGATTTATTTCTACCTTGATTCAGATAATGAAAATAAGTGTGCATAGTGCAGTTAAGCTATGAGTCACACAAGAAGACATAAAGAGTGCTTAGATCTTTTATTTCATGTAAGAACATGAAATGAGTTTGTTACAGAGAGAAAAAAAGAAAGTAAATTGAGATTCTTGCAGGCATAAAATATATATCTGAGGGTACAGGATGACATTGGGGTTTGGTACTTGGACACTGAGGCTTTCCCTGAGCTATGTGATCAGGCTAAATTCAGTCTTCATTACTACTAATAAAGGTCTATGTTTTCAAAAAGTGGCCTTCAATTTTGCATGTTCATAATGATGCCTAAGTAATAACCTGTTTTGCACAAAGGAAAAGGTAATGGCATGTGCAAGTGGTCCATCTGCATGTATTAAGTTGCCTTTTTATGCATGCAGGTATGGTCATTGTGCATCTTAAGTAATCAGGGCAGATCTGAGGTTCTTTAAACAATTTGACCCTTTCACATGATGGGTCTCCAGCAACACTGATAAATGAGTTTGTGAAACTCAGTTCCGCTTTTAACAAAGAGGTGCATATGCCAGAAGTCCACATCAGAACTGATTTTAATTGTCCCCTTTCTGCATAAGTCCCATTTGCAAGTCAAAGAATTGGTGTAACTTAAAGAATTAAGAAATTAATAACCTAACACTGAACTGGTCTTACAGCAGTGCTGTTGAAACTGATTGGTGTAGAGAAGCTTGAACAGCAAGTGATTTAGTTGGATCTAGGCACTACCTATAAAAGGATGGAGACATCTGTAGAACTGTCATCAAGGCCTCCTTGTTAAGAATTCACTAAAGCAGATAGCGAAAAGTGACACTATTTTGTTTTTCAGGTGAAGCCCCTGCTCCAAGTCACTCGCCAAGAAGAAGAAATGCAGGCCAAAGATGAAGAGCTACTGAGAACTAAGGAAAGACAACAAAAAGCAGAGAGTGAATTGAAAGAACTGGAGCTGAAACACACTCAGGTGACATGCAGTTCTGTACCACTCCTTTTCTGTACCACTAAAATATCACAAATGATCAGTGAAGGGTTTTTCTCCCTTATGCTTCTGATCCTACTAACAGAAATGGACCTGAGTCAAAGTCCATTGCATTCAGTGTAAAGACAGTTGTTCACTTTAATGGGAGGTCCAATATCCATTCACGAAGGGGATGAACCTCCAGACTTCCTGTCGGTGCCCTCACCTGTACTCAGTGGCAGTCTAGGAGAAATAGAGAACAGTAACTTGTGACCCAAGTGGTAACTATGTGTCCGTTTTATCTGCGTAGCTCTGTGAAGAGAAAAATCTCCTTCAGGAGCAGCTTCAGGCTGAGACCGAATTATATGCTGAAGCTGAAGAGATGAGAGTCCGTCTAGCTGCTAAGAAGCAAGAGTTGGAGGAGATCTTGCATGAAATGGAGGCCAGGATTGAAGAGGAGGAGGAGCGGAGTCAGCAGCTGCAAGCAGAGAAGAAAAAGATGCAGCAACAAATGCTGGTACCATGCTTACATTCAGCCCATAAAAAATGTTACCTCACTGAAAACACTGAGAAAAAGCCACCTTCAGATCCTATAGAAATGGCTACCCCATACTGCTTTGTAGAACACGTATCTGCTACACTGTAGTAGGAATACTGCAGTTTTCAACTACATTTAATTCTTTATGCCAGATATACTCACATTCTGTCCCCAAACTGAATTTAAGGTATTGAATTGAATATTTTTTTTCTCAATACCTGGATAACCAAATCTTTTCTTCCATGCCACTAGAAAGGCTTGTGATGGAACCTACATAGGCTTGGGCTGACTTTAATGGTACAGCTAGATACTATTATTTCTAGAGTTCATGGTTTTTTTGTTGGGTTTCTTTTCCCCCAAAAGGACCTTGAAGACCAGCTGGAAGAAGAAGAAGCTGCAAGGCAAAAACTACAACTTGAAAAAGTAACAGCAGAAGGCAGAATAAAGAAAATGGAAGACGACATTCTTGTAATGGAAGATCAGAACAACAAGCTAACCAAAGTTAGTGTTATGGGTCCTGTTTTCTACTTCGTAAAATCTGTGCAAGATGAAAAAATCTTTTCTTTAACCACACAAAGGGCTTCATAATCTCACAGCTGTGTAGACTAACAGCAGGCCATGGCTCATTGTGTCTGGACTAGGTTTTCGACAACTCTCCTAAGTTTATCTCAGACCATCCAAAGTATTATATAAACTGTACATTTTGTTGGCTTGCTGGGTCCTACAGTGGCAAAAATATTTTTGGGAAAAAGCCCCATAGTGGTTAAGTAATATCTGTAGGAAAAGTCCTTCTTAGCCTTCAGCAAGGATAGACTTATTCCATGGTGCCCAAAACTGACTGCATTTAATTTGTTAAATTGAACATAATTGTCTGAGTCTCCTTGAAGAGGGGCTTTCCTCATTCAGGGCCCAAATACTTAGTAGCATTTGCAGAGGGAGTATTACAAATTTAAGATCAGTAATCTAGTTAGTCTCAAAAAAAGTATCCACCATTTTTTATCTTCTTCATAATTGATCACATTGTCAGGAAATGTGATATTTAAGGTGACAGTACCCTAGGGTTTTTAGCCTTGTACCTTATTTTTTTAAGGAAAGAAAACTCCTTGAAGAGAGAGTAAGTGATTTAACAACAAATCTTGCAGAAGAAGAAGAAAAAGCCAAAAACCTTACGAAGTTGAAGAACAAACATGAATCTATGATTTCAGAACTGGAAGGTATTTAAAACCAAAAACATTTAAAATAAATTTTAACTTGGTACATGTTAAAAAGACAGCTTTAAAAAAGACAAGAGGGGGTGCATCCATCCTCAGGGTTTTATTTGAAAGCAGTCAATCTGGAAAAACTGAAACAAGGAATTCTGTAATCAATCGCATAGCAATTGTATTTTAATAAAAAACTTGAGTTTTTTTTAAATCCACACAAATGTCATTTTAATTGTTTTGTATGTGCATGTTTGCTGGTGTTTTCCAGGTTCCTTATGCTGAGGCCATTTACGTCAGTGTATTACAATATTTAATTGAAACATACTTATATTTATTACAAGTATATTTTCTGTATCAAGAAAAAGGTGAATGAGTTAAGCAATTTTATTTTTTATTTGAGGAATAGATATAGTCTGCAAAAGATGTGAAGCAGGAAGAAACCATATCTCCTATTTTGTATGATCACAGAAAAGAAAATAGAGTCAGATATATAAAAATAAGGCCAAGAAAATAGGTAATACTTGGATTGGAGAGGTTTGGTTTATGAGTGGCCATATTCAAGCAGCAAAGCACTAGCATGTCACTATGGAAAAAAAATGTGACATAATTAAGTATGTAACCTCAGAGAAAGATACAGTGGCTTCAGTGGATTTGCATCTTCTGTAGCCTTATTCAGGATTACTTAAAGAACCCTTGAGCTGACCTACTTCCCTGACATGAATCCTTATTTTTTCAGTGCGACTGAAGAAAGAGGAAAAGGGCAGACAAGAACTGGAGAAAATGAAAAGGAAGTTGGAGGGGGAGTCCAGTGATCTACACGAGCAGATTGCAGACCTGCAGGCGCAAATTGCTGAACTAAAGATGCAGCTGGCCAAAAAGGAAGAAGAGCTGCAGGCCGCTCTCGCCAGGTAGCCACCGTCTATCAAGGGACATACCTGAACCGATTCCCAGATCTAAATACGTGCGCTTTGTCCCCACGCAGATACTGGGGTACTTCAGCACTAAGTTGGCTCTCTGGGTTTGAGTTTCTTTATGTGCCTCCCCCACCTCCTAAGTCTGTCATTGTGTTAAAAAACCATCAAGTATAACCCACTAATGAGTAAAATTGATTTATGTCCAGTTTCCAGAAAACTCTTCTTAGTAGTCATCGTTTTTTACAGGTGCTGCCACATTACATATGAGATACGGAAAAGTGGTTTATAGACAAAATGACCTGCAAAAACTCTGAACCATTCAAGTCCACGAGGGCTTCTTCCATAAACTTTGTGTGCTGTATTCTTGGGCTGTGAGAATTTAGCACTAAAAACCTCATAGTCCTAGATCAAGGCATTATGCCCCTCATTGGAAGTAAAATCATTGCAACTCACCAGTTTGTTTTGGGACACTTTGTCTCCATACAGGTGCATCAAACAGGCCTTCTCCCCCACCCTACCCCCTTAATGCTTTCTCACATTGGGGGCCCAGTTTCTTACATGTCAGTTGACAAAGCTTAAACTGCAGATACAAAAGAGCTTCTCAGCACTACATGTCATCTGGTGATAAGAACACCTCCTCTTCTGTCATCATTTCTCTCTACTAGCCAAGATTATTTGCACAGTTTTGCTCCAAGCTGAATTTACAGCATACATTGACCTGTATAGTTAGGTTGGAATTGTTGAAAGCTCTCTGAGTTGGCCTAACTCTAGTCACATTGAAATCCCATTGGTTTCAACAAGAACATAGCTAAGCCAACACAGAGAGCTTTTGAAAATCCCAGCCTTAAATATGTATTTAAGGTACATGTTATCATAAAATGTTGTGTCATCTTAAATGTTTCCTGGATGCATTACTTACACGTCTACCAAAATAATCACAAACAATTGAATGCATTTTGTTGGTTCAGGTTACAGTCATTCCACCAGCTCCCTAAAACTCAACACTCTTCGTTAGAAATCTTAAGCTGCTGTTTATGGAGTGGCCAGGAAGCAGAGGAATATTGTTTATGTTTCCATTACATATTTTCTTGCCAGGCTCGAAGATGAAATGGCTCAGAAAAACAATGCCCTCAAGAAAATCCGGGAGCTGGAAGGCCACATCTCTGACCTCCAAGAAGATTTGGACTCTGAGAGGGCAGCTAGAAATAAAGCAGAGAAACAAAAGAGAGACCTGGGTGAGGAGCTGGAGGCCCTTAAAACAGAGCTTGAAGATACTTTGGATAGCACAGCCACACAGCAAGAACTCAGGTACAAACTCCTGAAAGATCGCTATAGAACCACGAATTACAACAGCAGTAAAATATCACATACACACACATATCTAGCAAGGTAGAAGGCTTTGTATACCTGGCAGAGAGCACTATATAGTGTGAGCACAAACTGGTGTGCAAGGAATGCTTGGATTCTTGTTCAGGCTGTGACAGAGATGCTCTCTGCAGATTCAGGCAAGCCAGTCAGTTAAAATCTTGAATCTTTGTAGTTCTGTACTACAAATTGTATGCAGTGATAGAGAGGTGATCTAGTGCTCAACTGCCAACATGAAGGATCAGTGAATTGTTTTCCATCTGCTCCCTGTCCTTTGAGCTGTCTGGCTGGGGTGGGCCTAGCAACAGGTTAGCATCTCTTTGGAACTCACAAGTCTTTCCATCACATTAAAGCGCTAGACCAGGGCACGTACTAATGCTTCTTAAGCTTTTAAGCTAAAGGCTATGTGCTGCTGCTGCTCCTGCTGTGTTGTGCAACATTATAATTTTTCATGTGACGGGAAATCTCCTGCCTGCTGTTCTGTATGTATTACTTTCCAGAGCAAAGAGAGAACAGGAGGTCACAGTGTTGAAGAGAGCTTTGGAAGAAGAGACTCGGACTCATGAAGCCCAGGTCCAGGAGATGAGGCAGAAGCATACTCAGGCTGTGGAAGAGCTAACAGAACAGCTGGAGCAATTTAAACGGGTAAAAGGAAAACTTTCCCCTTGAAAACAATGGTATCTATTATTTGTTATGGTCTTCTTTTACTCTGTGTGTTTTTATTTGCTTTGCGCTTTCAGGCTAAAGCAAATTTGGACAAGAGCAAACAGACATTGGAGAAAGAAAATGCTGACCTGAGTACTGAAGTCAGGACACTAAACCAGGTCAAACAAGATGTGGAGCACAAAAAGAAGAAGCTGGAGGTGCAGCTCCAGGAACTACAGTCCAAATATGCTGATGGAGAGCGTGTCCGGACAGAACTCAATGAAAAAGTCTATAAGTTACAGGTAAGAGAGACTTTCTTCTGTGACAGTAAGACTTGGCAGGCAATAACTATTTTCGCCTTGTTTTGTACCAACTTGTGTCACATAGAATCATAGAAAATTAGGGCTGGAAGGGACCTCAGGACATCTAGTCCAACTCCCTGTTCAAAGCAGGACCGTCCCCAACTAGATCATTCTACCCAGGGCTTTGTCGAGCCAGGTCTTAAAAAACTCCAAAGTTAGAAATTCTGCTGCCTCTCTAGGTAACCCATTCCAGTGCTTCACCACCCTCCTAGTGAGAACATTTTTCCTAATATTCAAAATAATCTTCCCTTGATGCAACTTGAAACCATTGCTCCTTGTTCTGTCATTAGCCACCACTGAGAACAGTCTAGCTCCATCCTCTTCGGAGTCCCCCTTCAGGTGCTATTAAAGAGAAGACTGCTATTAAATCCCACCTCAGCCTTCTCTTCTCCAGACTAAATAAACCCAGTTCCCTCAGCCTCTCCTCAGAAGCCATGTGTCCCAGCCCCTGAACCATTTTTGTTGCTCTCCACTGGACTCTCTTCAATTTGTCCACATCCTTTCTGTAGTGGGGGGCCCAAAAGTGGGCACAATACTCCCAATGTGGCCTCACCAGTGCAGAATAGAGGGGAATAATTACTTCCCTTGATCTGCTGGCAATGCACCTACTAATGCGGCCCAGTATGCTGTTAGCCTTCTTGGCAACAAGAGCACACTGCTGACACATATCCAGCTTATTGTCCACTGTAACCCATATGTCCTTTTCTGCAGAGCTGCTGCTTAGCCAGGTGGTCTCAAACCTGTAGCAGTCAGTGGGATTGTTCTGTCCTAAATGCAGGACTTTGCACTTGTCCTTATTGAACCTCATGAGATTTCTTTTGACCCAATCCTCCAATTTGTCTAGGTCACTCTGAATCCTAGCCCTACCCTCCGCAATATCTAATACTCCCCCCAGCTTGGTGTCATCTGCGAACTTGCTGAAAGTGAACTCCATCCCATATTCCAGATCATTAATGAAGATATTGAACAAAACTGGCCCCAGGACCAACCCCTGGGGCACTCCACTTGATACCAGCTACTATCTAGACCTCAAGCCTTTTGATACTCTACCCACTGAGCCTGGCAATCTAGCCAGCTTTTTATTCACCTTACAGTCCATTCATCCAACCCATACTTCTTTAGCTTGCTTGCAGGAATGCTGTGGGAGACTGTAGCAAAAGCCTTGCTAAAGTCAGAAGGAAGCAAAACTCGTGGAAGAGGTGATATCTTTTATTAGACCAAAGTCAAAGTATATCACGTCCACCCATTTCCCACACTCACAGAGCCAGTCATCTCATTATAAAAAGGCAATTAGGTTAGTCAGGCATGACTTGCCCTTGGTGAACACGCTAACTGTTCCTAAATCACTTTCTTCTCCTCTAAGTGCTTAGAAATGGGTTCCTTGAGGACCTGCTCCATGATTTTTCCAGGGACTGAGGTGAGACTGACTGGTCTGTAGTTCCCTGGATCCTCCTTCCTCTCTCTAAAATATGGGCACTATACTTGCCCTTTTCCAATTGTCTGGGACCTCCCCAGATCGCCACAAGTTTTCAAAGATAATGGCCAGTGGCTCTGCAGTCACATCAACCAACTCCCTCAGCACCCTTGGATGCATTGCATCCAGCCCCAGGGACTTATATATGTCCAGCTTTTCTAAATAGTCCCTGAGCTGTTCTTTCACCACCGAGGGCTGCTTACCTTCTCCCCAAACTCTGCTGCCCAGTGTAGTAGTCTGGGGGCTGACCTTGGCTGTTAAGACCGAGGTAAAAAAGCCATTGAGTACTTCAGCCTTTTTTGCATCATCTGTTACTAGGTTGCCTCCCCCTCCACTAAGGAACCCACACTTCCCCTGACTTTCCTCTTGTTACTAAGAGACTTATAGAAATCCTTCTTGCTACCTTTCACATCCCTTGCTAGCTGCAACTCCAATTGTGCTTTGGCCTTCCTGATTTCATCCCTGCATGACCGAGCAATACTCTTATACTGCTTCCATGTCATCTGTCCAAGCTTCCACTTCTTGTAAGATTTCTTTTTTTGTTTAAGCTCACTGAAGATTTCTATGCTAAGCCAAGCTGGTCGCCTGCCATGTTTACTATTCCTCCTGCAGATCGGGATTGTTTGTTCCTGCGCCCTCAATACAGTTTCTTTAAAATACAACCAGCTCTCCTGGACTCCTCTCCCCCTCAGACTGGCCTCCCAGGGGATCCTGCCCATCAGTTCCCTGAGGGAGTCAAAGTCTGCTTTTTTTTAAGTCCAGGTTGCATTCTCTGCTGCTCTCTTTTCTTCCTTTTGTCAGGATCCTGAACTCAATCATCTCATGGTCATGGCTGCCCAAGTTGTCATCCACTTCTACATCCCCCGCCAATTCTTCCCTGTTTGTGAGCAGTAAGTCAAGAAGAGCACGGCCCCTGCTTGGTCTTTCCAACATGTGCACCAGGAAGTTGTGCCCAACTTTCTCTAAAAACTTCCTGGATTGCTTGTGCACTGTTGTATTGTCCTCCCAGAAGATGGCAGGGTGATTGAAATCCCCCATGAGAACTTGGGCCTGTAATCTGGAAACTTCTGCTTGTTGTCTGAAGAAAGCCTCATCCTCCTGCTCTGTCTATAGCAGACACCCACCACAACATCACCTTTGTTGCTGTTCCCTCGAACCTTAACCCAGAGACTTTCAACAGGTCTATCTCCAGTTTCATACTGGAACTGTGAGCAATCATATGGCTCTTTTACATACAGTGCAACTCCTCCTCGTCTTCTCCCCTCTTGTCCTTCCTGAACGGTGTGTACCCATCCATGACAGTGCTCCAGTCATGGGAGCTCCCACCAAGTCTCTGTTATTTCAATAGTTTCTTGATTGTGCGAGGACTTCCAGTTCTTCCTGCTTGTTTTCCAGGCTTCATGCATTTGTGGACAGACACCTGAGGTAACTAGCCAATTGCCCTACTTTCTTATTAAGAATGAGGAGTCCTCCTCTGGTGCCCCCTCCTCCTTGTGCTTCCTCCAGGTCTCCCACTTACCTCAGGGCTTTGGTCTCCATCCCATGGTGAACCTAGTTTAAAGCCCTTCTCACTAGGTCAGCGAGCCTGTCTGCAAAGATGCTCTTCCCTTTTTTCAATCAAGTGAATACCATCTCTTCCTAGCAATCCTTCTTGGAGCAATGTCCCTTGGCCAAAGAAGTTGAATCCCTGCTGGTGACACCACCTACACAGCCATGCATTGATCTGCAGAATGCATCCGCACCTGCCCAGGCCTTTCCCCTTGACCAGAAGGATTGAAGAGAACATCACCCATGCCCCCGTCTCTTTCACTCTTACACCCAGAGCCCTGTAGTCACTCTTGATCTGCTCATGGTCACTCCTGGCAGTATCATTGGTGCTCAAATGGATTAGCCTCATGGGGTAGTAGTCAAAGCTGGATTGCAAGACAGTCACCTGCTGAGGTTCCAGAACTCCCTGCCAGCATAGGAGTATGTTCAGAATCTACCATTTGAAATCAAATCCTAATTCAAGACTTTAGCTTGGACCATCCCAAATGTACTTTGTTGGGATGGTGATATTGAAGATGTACAGATCAATAGAAATGTTATTTCTTCTTAGGTTGAAGTGGAAAGTGTAACCGGCCTGCTCAACGATGCAGAAAGCAAGACAATTAAACTTACCAAAGATGTTGCAAGTTTGGGATCTCAGCTACAGGACACACAGGTGAAGCTTCCCATTATAAAGAGTTCAACTATCATGTAAACTGTGTTATAAAAGAACTGAAAATGACCATATTATACATTGACGATGTCTTTGTAGGAGCTGCTTCAAGAAGAAACTCGGCAAAAACTAAATGTAACCACCAAGCTTCGTCAGCTGGAGGATGAGAAGAATAGCCTGCAAGAGCAGCTGGAGGAAGAAGCAGAAGTAAAACAAAACTTGGAGCGGCATATTTCAACACTGACAATACAGGTACCAGTGGCACAGTTAAATTATTAGCTCCAGAGATTTCACAAACTCTCAAAATTAAGAGTTTTTACAATACACACAGAGATTTTGATCTCTAGAATTATTCCTAGCCATGTCAAGGCAGTGAATTTATGTTCCTAGGCCAAAAATAGCAAGTTTGAGTCTCTTAAGCCAAAGGTAGCCCCGAGAATTTTAGAGTTCAGCCAGTAAGTAGTCTCCCACTCTTGTCCTGGAAAAAAGTATGACCTATAGGACACCCAACTATATCTTGATGTAACTCCAAGTTCATTTTGAAGAGGAATCTTACATAACATGCCTGGAATCTCTGTAGGCTGCCTTGTTTTAATGATGAGTGACAGCCATCAGCTTCAGACTGGGCAAATTAGGTAGTCCCAACTGAGGTCGTGGGAAGGTATCAGATGAGGCAGCCATTTGTACACCTTGGTTCTCCTCCTATTAAGATTTGTTTTATTCTCTAAATTGAAATTTTAGCTTTCTGACTCAAAGAAGAAGCTTCAGGAATATGTTGGCACAATAGAAGCTCTGGAGGAAGGCAGAAAGAAATTCCAGAAGGAAATTGAAGGTCTCACACAGCAGTTTGAGGAGAAAGCTGCTTCTTACGATAAACTGGAAAAAACCAAGAACAGACTCCAGCAGGAGCTGGATGATCTCATTGTGGACCTGGACAATCAGCGCCAGCTGGTCTCCAACCTGGAGAAAAAGCAAAAGAAGTTTGATCAGGTATGAATTTATAGTTAGTTCTGCTAAAAGTTACAGGTGGGAGAAAATGATATCATCTATAAAAAAAAAAATGAGGGTGAATTATTGATACAATGGTTAATTTTGCATCTGCATATGTTCAGCAATAAGCTTTTTCTGCAATTAATATTTGGGAAAACCTACAGCTAATGGCTTTCCATAGTGATAAGACTACTGTGCTCAGACTGAGAGCTTTTTTTATATCATTTTTCTACAGATGCTAGCTGAAGAAAAAACCATCTCTTCCAAATATGCAGATGAAAGGGACAGAGCAGAAGCAGAAGCTAGAGAAAAAGAAACGAAGGCTTTGTCACTGGCCCGGGCTCTTGAGGAGGCCTTGGAAGCCAAAGAAGAACTGGAGAGAGCCAACAAATTGTTGAAAGCTGAAATGGAAGATCTAGTTAGCTCCAAGGATGATGTTGGCAAGAGTGTAAGTCTCTAGTGTTTAGTCATACCAGCCATAATCTTTTACACCTGTTTCTTATCTGCTAATTTAAATGTTCAGTGTGGGAAATTCTCCCCAGCACGCAAATCTATTCAACACTATCAGGCATTTTAGGCAGATCTCCATGACCAGCTCCACATGCATCTGCAAATGTCTTGCAAGTATTTTGCTTTGTCATCTCTAGTCTTGAGACCACTGATAATCAGTAAATTATTGATGTTGAAGAAGAGAATATCCCTTATTCCTAAAACTGGAAAATATTAACGCCCAAGTAAGCAGCTTCCAAGTTGTAAATTCTCAATTCTGAGTGTATTAATACAATTTGATTTTGCCAGCAGCTGCTATTGTATCCGAATTATCTTTCCCTAGCGACAACTGCTTATCTAAGTACATACTCCCAACAATTGTACCCATTTTATTGGGGGGGTTTTTCTCATTACCTGAAAGGTTCATGAATTGGAGAAATCTAAGCGTGCCCTGGAGCAGCAAGTGGAAGAGATGAAGACACAGTTAGAAGAGCTAGAGGATGAGCTTCAGGCAACAGAAGATGCCAAGCTTAGATTGGAAGTTAATATGCAGGCTCTGAAAGGACAGTTTGAAAGAGATTTGCAAGCCAGAGATGAACAGAATGAGGAGAAGAAGCGACAGCTGCTTAAACAGGTATAATTCCTTCTGGTCAACTCTGTAGTCCTTACTCAGATCCCTTGCTTCATGCTATCAATATTAGCTCCCTCTCCATAAAGAAGAAAACGTCCCTTCTCTTTGTGATTGACTAATGAAAACAGCGTAAGCCACTTTGCTTCATTAAAGAAAAAAGCTGCAGCACTGTTATGGCTGCATCTATCTCAGTATCAGGCACATAAGACTGAAACATAGCAAATGTAGCAATGTAATTCTTGGATTCCTTTAGAATAAATCACCTGACTCGCTAACTCTGACACAACAGTAAAAACACTCCCATGTAGTGAAAAATAGCTTCTGCATAGAATACCTGGCTCCCCTAGACAGAACCCTACTGGTACAGGTGACGTTGTGACTGCAAAAACCAATATCACATTCGGTACCACACACTCATCTGTCAGGTGGGAACCAGCATTGTGCCTCTGTGCACAATAACCTTCAGTTATGAAGTTAAATTAAAATGTATTTTGCCTTTTAGCATGTTTATAAAAAATGGGGCTTTTTATTATTTGCAGGCCAGCTGCTAGGGGCTGTATCCCATAGTCAGGTGTGAGTGGACTGGATGTAAGTGGGCTCAAGTGCTTTAGAAAAGCATAAACAAAATATTCTTTTACCATTAGCTCCATGAGTATGAAACAGAACTGGAAGATGAGAGGAAGCAACGTGCCCTGGCAACAGCAGCCAAGAAGAAATTGGAGATTGACATTAAAGACCTAGAAGGCCAAGCTGACTCTGCTAATAAAGGTCGGGAAGAAGCCATTAAACAACTTCGTAAGCTACAGGTATGTGGTTCCCAGGGTGCAATTGTTCTCTTGCCCCCCTGGTATGATTTGTACAGTTGCAATGTAGACATTAGATGACATTTGTCATCTTGATGCTAGATTGAAATGGCAAATTAGATGATAGAAATGATAGACTGGGGAGTAAGCATAAACCCAGATCCAAATGCCGTTGAGGCTAAATGGTTGTAATTAGAGTGACAGCAACGTACTAGCCTGTATCCCACTAAAAGTGAGATCACTTATGTGCTGTTGGCATCTGTATGAAGAAAACCTAAGGTTCCTATAAAGAGATGAGAGAAAGGGCTCTCAGGTACCTATAGGGCTCAGTTTTTGCTATGCTCATGTGCTAGAGAGCCAAAGCCAGTTTTGGCAAGCAACTAGCGCAACTGCTTGGAGTCCCAAGGTATGAGGGACCACATTAAGTAAAGTTAGTACAAATCATTTTATGTGAGGATGGCAGAAAGGAGGGGCTCGTGATGCCTGAGGTCCTCCCACATCTATCACCAGCTTTGGACATAGCGTTGAAAAACAGATATTATTTGCTGCATTAATAAGGTGATTTTCAAAAACACTGTGCCTGACAATTCCTGATCAAGGTAGGACAGAGACTTTATATATAGGTCAACAGTGACTTAAAAGCACAGGAAGGCAATCTGTTCAGGAACTACTCTGCCTCTGAGTTTGGCATTTTCTATAAGGTTACAAAGGAGCAGAAGCAAGTGCTTATGTCAACTTTCAATTTGGTATTTACGAATCTCCACATCAGCTGATGGCTGTGGCAAGGCAGTGGGAATGGATGGAAACCAACATCTTGTGTTTATTTAAATATTCAAAGCATAGAGGGAAAATAGGAAGATACTTTCAAAATCAGAGATCTATAACTAGCTTCACCTGCCTAACTGGAATGACTTTGCAGATCCTTCTGAGAGATGCCAATTGGCCTTTAATGAAGTTGTCTGTAGAAGGAAGGTTGTGTAATTACCTGGAAATGTGCATCTCTGATCTGTTTTGTCCAGCTTTCTTTTCAACATAACTCTGATAAACACAAACAAATGCAAATCCATGTTTTTGATTGTCTGACACTAGGCTCAGATGAAGGACTTCCAGAGGGAGCTAGATGATGCTCGTGCCTCAAGAGAAGAAATATTTGCTACTGCGAGAGAAAATGAGAAGAAAGCCAAGAGCCTGGAAGCAGAAATTATCCAGCTTCAGGAGGTAAATATGAACCTAGATAGCAATACTGTGTAGGCTGCACAGGATCTTCTGTAGCAGAGCTACGCTTGAGAGAACCAAAACATGCAAAACCATCACATTGGCTCTGGGGTAAGTAGCTTGTTTCTGCTGAAGTGTATAAACACTCAGAACAAAGTGCATGCAAGCAAAATGCATCTCTTCAGTGATGCTGAGCACCCATTGGCTTTACTGGGTAAGTAAGCCTTTGTGTGACAGGTCACCTTCCCCGGTGCCATCTTTTTGATTATCTGCGCCTCATGTGGGGCGCCCTTGGGGCCTGTTTTGCAATTCTTCAGTCCCACCCTAATCTCGTCTGCCACGTCTTGATGGATTTTTTAAAATTTTTTTTTTGAACGGGCGATTGCCTATATTCTGGGTATGTTGGGGGTCTTGCCTAGTATGGCTTAACCCCTGTTTCCTCTGGTCAGGCCTCCCCGTCCGAACCCACTAAACAGGGTTGGACTCAGAGGCTCTAGCTTTTCCTGCTCCCTTATGGAGCATGGCACTCCCCAGCCCCGAGGCACGGGAGCCGGACCCACAACCAGTGGGCTGCGGGCTCAAGACCCGGGCACAACCCGAATCCGCCTCCATCAGCGGAAACAAAAACAAAACAAAAAAAAATAAGAGACAAACCACAACTGCACTCCGGTGCACTAGGCCTCCCTGGCCTTTTTAAAATAGTCCTTCAAATACCAGGGTTCGTGCTCCCCTCCCCCCCCCCAAAACTGCACCCTCACTGGTGCTGGGGTCTGTGCCCCCCCCAAAACTGCACCCTCACTGGCGCTGGGTACCCACTCTGAAGAGGGTCCCGAAAATGAGGCCTCCTTCAACCCCTAATAGCCTCTCCCAAACCACCGGTCTTATTCAATAAATCACACAAAAATAATAATAATAATAATAATAATAACTGTACGTGCTTAATCAACGCAGCATCAGCTTACATGAACTCTCTTTGAGTCTTGACTCCGCACCACTGGCTACAGTCTTGGTTGTGGATGCAGTGGTCACCTCGCAGGGCTTCCATAGCTTCCCCCTTCCCGCCGAAGACCACTGCCCAAGCTTCTTCCTGGAGCTCTCAGGGGGACTGCTTCCCCTTTGGCCGCTGACCTCCCTACTGCTGTTCCACCCAGGGTTTTTATAGTCCTGCCTCTTCCGGTCAGCTGACTTGCTGTCCCAGTTCAGCAATTAACCAGCCCTCCGTGCCCAGAAGGTTCTGGCCTTATAGGGGCGCACCTTTTTCCTCGTGACAGGTTTGGGTTCCGTGTCACACCTTGCTAACAATTTCCCTCATAGGATTAAATGGAAAATAAACTGTCCACTATAATCATTAGGTTTGTTTCAATAACTTCATAGTCCCAAAATCTTTTTAGCACTATTATCCCTGTGTGTGCTAAATGCATATGGTTCCTGTATCAGGAAACACAGTAACACACAGGATTGCTAAGTGGTACAATAAAATATATTTTGGTCTGTTGACCTGTGAGCATAGCATCGGACTCCCATGGCAGAGGGTCAGACTTGATGATCTGCTCAGGTCCCCTCCAACCCTACCAACTATGAAATAAATGAAATAAATGTTCTGGTGACAGAAATGGTTGATATCTGTTTCTCACCTCACTGGATGGCAGTGTTTAAACTGAACCTTGACCTCGCCTGTTCATATCTGTGTCACTGGCTGTTTTTTTCCCTCTAGGATTTGGCTGCTGCAGACAGGGCTCGCAAACAGGCTGACCTAGAGAAAGAGGAGCTGGCTGAAGAACTTGCAAGTGCTGCTGCTGGGAGGTAAGGAGGGATGTGACTGCTTTCAGGGATACTGTGACAGGACAGCCCTTAAGGATGGCAGCGTCATCCCCAGGGTCCCCCCTAATCCTGCCCGCACTCCAGGTTGATGCTTTTCTGATGTTGATTGGGAGCCTGCACTTGAGTCTCAGAGTGTTCTCACTGCTGTCCAACCAACTTAACCGAACTCTCCTGGTGTTGGCCCTCTGCCCGCTAACCAAAGCTATTCAGTTGTCTCTCATGCCCAGATGGACCTGTTTGTGCCTGATTGGCACTACTCTGAGGCAGTGGTCACTGCCCATGGTCCTAATTAAGCCTTAGGACTTTTAATCATGACCTTCAACCTCTCCCATAACCATGCCCATGCCTCATGGATGTCACTATGTCGTCTTTTACGTTCCTGTGTAGGGTTTGGCCCTCTTAGCCTTAGGCTACAGGTTACTCTGGCTGTAAGCTTCTAGCCTGGGCCCAGTTGCTCCAGCCCAGCTTCTCAGCCTCAGCCTCTCTCTCTGGTCACAATAAACCTAGGGCTCTTGCATCTCTCTGCCTCAACATGTCTATGTTGCCTTCTCTTGATTCAGGCTCTGCCCCTCTCAGCCTTAGCCCACCTGCCTCACTTTTGGGGCCAGGCTTTGGCCCTCTTAGCTTCTGTCTACCTCAGTGTTACTCTTAAGCTCTGGCCCTATTGGCCTCAGCCTACCTCCATCTCCCTCTATGCTCAAAACCTGGCATGCCCCTCAAACACCCCTGTGTGGCCTCCTTATCACCCTTACAGCCACCATCCAGTCTTCTGGTTTAAAACTAAAACAGAAGTGCAAGCAATCACTTCAGACTAAAAGATTCAAAACCCCGCTCTGCATCATCACTCTGCTGCCAAAGTCACTACTCACCAGGTCTCTCAGGCTCTCCTGGGAGTACCTGACATGGCCTGCAGCCTCCGCTCCCCGTGAAGCCCAAGTTGGCAGGAGCTCTTCTCCGCACAGAGTTCAGGATTGTGTTGCCCCTCTGCCTCAGGAACCAGGCTTGTCCACCGGGCTCCTCTTCTCCTGGTCCGGTGTTCTTCTGACCGGATTTGGGTGTGTGTTCACAGCTTCAAGAGTAGCCTACTACTGTTTCTCTAGCTAAGCTGCAGTTGCTCCTTTGCTACCTATCCGTGGCAATCTATAGGTCTCTGGCTGCCTACTTGCCTACAGCTAGCTCAGGTTCAGCTGCCTTCACCCACCCAGGGATAGACCTGCTGCTGTTTCTCTCTGAAAGTAAAAGGAGTTCCTGGCCCCCTATTACAGGTACAAACTCATGCCAGTGCCTAGCAGTAGCCAGTAAAGACCACATCCCAGCCCTGAAAAGCAATCTGTAACCCTCATCTTGCCGATAACTGATATGCATGCCCACTAGATCAGTGTTTCCCAACCTTTTTCACCCCACGGCACACTTACCTAGAAAAAAACCCAACACCATGGCACACCAGATGCGGAGCAGGGGGGTGCAGGGGGGCGGGGTGGCACGTAGCTAGCCGGACACCGACGGGGAGGGCTGGCATGCAGTCAGCCAGATGGCATTTTGGGCTGGAGCCACACTCCCTGTCTGTGTCCACAGCAGCAGCAGGCGGGGAGCGTGGCTCCCGCCAGGCAAGGGGTGTGGCTCCAGCCCAAAATACAGTGGCACACCTGAATGTGCCTGATGGCACACCATGCTGCAGCACACCAGCTGGGAAACACCACACTAGATGCATGTAACTAACTTAACCAAAATTGATGGAACTGCTCATGAGGGATTCATATATTTGAAATCAAGATGAATCCATTAGACCATGAACCACATACATAAGACCAGAGTTTAATCCAGATAGAAGTTAAGTACGTGCATGGGTGGATCTAGAATTTTGAAAAAGGGGGGTGCAGATGGTGAGGTTCATCATCACATGGAAAACAACACATATTTTTCTCCAGTTAAAAAAAAACTAGAAGCTTTACGAATATGCTAGGGGCTGTATTATTCAGTTTAAAATTAAAGCAAAAATAAGTACAACTTTATTGGAATGAATTAAAAACAATCTGTAGGCCTGTGAAGTAGGAGCTCCAGAATTGCAGAACAAAGGATTCGTGGAACATCAACACCATTAAAAAAGAAGACAGTGTTGTTAACATGTGTGGAAAGAGGAGTTTAGGAGGGATCAGGTAGATTATAATGAACCATGAAGCCAAGTGACTCCCTCAGCACTGCCTGACTGAAACACTGCTACCAATGCCAAACCGTTGGTTTTAAATTTTGGGTGGACCAGGAATAAAAGAGGGGAGCAAGTGCACTAATGCACACCTCCCCCAGATCTGTCCCTGAGTGATATGCTTAATTGGTGAGCCTAAATTTGACAGGAACTGTTGAGATCAAAGTCTAAAAAGCAGGAAGGATATACAGTCACAATGATGTTGTGGGATTAACCGTCATGATGAGTCGGTTAAAACATTGGAGGTTGCTAATTCCTCCAAGGTAATACAGCACAGATGTGTTTTTAGAATGGGTATGAACATGGTGCCTCCCGAGTCTGGGGGGACACCAAGATCGCTGATAGGGGGGAGAGGGGGAGTCCCCCAGCAGCCAGTCACTGACCGGGATGGGGGAGTCCCCCAGCGGCCGATCCCCGAGCCCAGAACCACCAGCAGTGAAACTGGCAAACCTGGAAGTGAACTTCCGGTTTTGTGACTGGCGCTTCCAGGGGGTGCACAGCCAATCTCAGCAGGTGCACATGCACCCACATGCACCCCCTACACGTCACCAATAAGTATGAGGGAAGTAGCTTGCCAAAAAGTTCTGGGAAGTTGTATGAAAAGAAGGCAACCTGGAAGAAAGTGAAGAGTTGAGTAAAGGAAGGGGATATACCAAAGTTAGCATCCTGCAGGAATAATAGAATTAAAAGCCGTGTTTCCGATAGTACAAAAATAAAAGTTCCATGTCATTGGAGCATAAGCTTTGGTGTATTTTAGGGCAGAGGTCCCAATCAGCTTTTAATATGGTCACATGAAAGATGCACACAGAAAGTTCCTCAGTTTTGTTTTGGACCCAGTCACATTAGGACTTCAGCAGAAAAATACATAGAAGGCACAGGTGAGCTCTCCAATATGGAAAATGAGAAGAAAAGATACTTAGTACAGGCAGAATGAACGTAAGAATGCTGCCATGTTCTGAACGCGTCGTCAGCAGTTGCTAGAGGACAGAACAACTGGTCAAAGCCAAAGCCAAAGCCACATGCTTCCCAAATTTAAATTTGCAGGACGAGCCTCCAGGATGACAAGCGTCGTCTGGAGGCAAGAATCTCCCAAATGGAGGAAGAGCTAGAAGAGGAACAAAGTAACATGGAGGCTCTAAATGAACGCTTGAGGAAAACATTACAGCAGGTATAGTCCATGTGTGTCTGTGTTTGTCTGTCCATCTCTGTTTTCCCCTATAGTACTTGTACTCCTTGGGCACACTTTTCAAGAACTCCCCTAAGAGATTTCACTTTATTTAAAATAAAATTGAACTGTCACTGGCTTAGCCCAACAAACCAGGGCCCTTCCAAAGTGGGCCTAAGGTGTCCTTCATAAATATTTCAGACAGAGCAGCTGAATAATGAGCTGTTGGCAGAACGTGGCACAGCGCAGAAGAATGAGAGTGCTCGGCAGCAAATGGAGAGGCAAAACAAAGAGCTGAAGGCCAAACTGCAGGAGATGGAGGGAAACGTGAAATCCAAGTTCAAGGCTACAATTGCTGCTTTGGAATCCAAAATTGCTTCACTTGAGGAGCAGTTGGAACAGGAGGGCAGGTACATAGGTGCTGAAACTCAGCTTTGTGGTAAAGCCATCCATTATTGTGTCAATTAATGGAGCGCAGAAAAGGGAAAGGATTACAGGTAATTTTGGTTTGAATCACCTCTTCACACCTTCCTTTTCTCTGAACCAAGAATGGGAGGGATCCTTTGGCTTCTGTCACTAGAGGGAAGTGGGGAAGAGTTTTTCAGGTTGTGGGCAAAGGGACTGGTTCCTTCTTACTCAGTATGTCCAGGTCCTGCGTCATTATTCTATTCAAGGGGGTGGACGTGGCTTTGGGTAAATGCTTTGGGCCATAAGCAGGCCAGCAGGGGTATAACCGCCTGGTCCACCAGGACAATGCCTGGATCCACTGATCCATAATCCTGCCTGAGGGAGGTGTGAAGCAAGTATTGTAAGGGTCCTGTCCTTTCCCCTCACCTGATCTTGCTGTTCCATATGTTTCCTCTTTCTGACTATGGAAGCAGGAATTGGCTGAAGTGAGAAACCATGTACAGCAGGGGCGGGCAAAATATGCCCCACGGACCAGATCCAGCCCGCTGGGCACTTTTATGTGGCCCACAGCACCCACCAATGAATCGTACCCTGCCCAGCCCTTCTGTCCACAAGAGTGGGAGCGAGGCACCCACGTATATATCCCCTGCCATCATACCCTGTTGTGCATCACTCCCACCCTCATGGGCAGAAGGACCCGGTCCAGCCAGCAGGCAGCTTCCAGGAGCTGGAATCCAGGAGGGGCTGCTGCTGCCACCACTGCAGTCACCAGGGACCTGCTCAGCTTCCCTGGCATCCCGCATGCTCTGGGCAGCAGGTCGGGATGCAGTGGGGCAGGGCGGAGTTGCAGCTGGGCAGGAGCATGGAGCATGGGGCTGGCAGCAGCGCGGAGCCTGTTCCTGGGGAGCGGCAGTAGTGCGGAGCTTGGGTGTGAAGGAGGGTGGGGAGGTGTGGGGACCTCCCCACGCACACCCCCATAGTGGTCAGCCCCTGCAGGCAGTGGCAGCTTCAGGAGCAGGTGGGGGCACTCATGGTGCTTGTGCCCAGTGCAGGCACACAGCTCCGGCCAGCACTGCATATCACAATGAGGGGCGCAGCCCTCACCAGGCCATCTCTATTACCAGTGCTCCCCGCCGTGCATGTGCAGCCTCCGCACTTGCATGGCACTAGAGGGAAGCTCCACGCACTGGAGCTGACTGCCTTTTCTGCCTCTGGTCTTGCATGGCAGGGGGTGGGGAAGGCAGCTGGCTCCAGCCTGTGAAGCTTCCCTCCCACGCTGCATGAGTTCAGGGGCTGCACATTCACGGCAGGGAGTGCTGGCACTAGAGACGGCCCAGCAGGAGCTGAGCCCTCGTTGTGATGCGCAGCACTGGCCAGAGCTGTGTGCTCACTAGACACCAGCACCTGTGTGAAGCACCAGGGCCCCCAAGTACCCCCGCCTGCTGCTGCACCATGGGGGGGATTGTGGAGGGGTCCCCACAGCCCCCCACCCTCCCTCACACCCCCAAATGTCACACACTCACACCCTGCCTCCACAACCCCTCACATATACACACCCCACCATATACACACACACTATACAAGACTAAGAACTTATTTTTGAGTTATTATGCAATCACCTCTAGATACACTGCGTAAACACAGACCGTGAAAAAATTATTTTTCTAATAAAATTAAAATGTGCTATTGTAGGTATTTGACTTTTAGTGTATGATTTGGTTTTTTTCTGGTTCTGAGATGGCACCCCCCCCCCTCCCAAAAGGAGTATTTCTCTGGGTCAAGGGGAGGGACTTCTAGTGGCAAAGGTCAGGGGTTAGGGGTGGGTCTTCTGGTCCCAAGATCAGAAGTGAAGCAAAGGTCAAAAAAGAGGGGCTACCCATGCAGCCCTTGAAAGCTCATCAAACCTTGTTAAATGGCCCTCCACCCAACATAATTGCCTGCCCCTGATGTACAGTAACTGGTCAAACAATAATGACTGGAATAGGAGCAACTGTACACTTGTGTTGGTGCCTGGAGATAACTCCTGCTTCTACGGCTAGAAACAAGCACAGGACATGTGCAATATGCAGTGACCAGTAGGAAAATTTGCCACTTTCTTCAGTTTTTCCATAGAGCAAACCTATTAAGTTCTATAACGCCTTTAGTCTGAGACTCCCCGCTGCCGGTTTTGCATGCGAGAACCATCCACTTAACTTAGCGTCATACTGTCTTTTGCAGAGAGAAGCAGGCTGCAGCAAAGGCGCTGCGCCAGAAGGACAAGAAGCTGAAGGATGTCTTGCTGCAGGTTGAAGATGAAAGAAAGCAAGCAGAACAATACAAAGAACAGGTAAGGCACTGTGTGATGATGGTCCAACCAGGGGGGGAAAGGGACTCTGAGCTAGTTAGTTAAGGAGCCAGGCAAAAGGTTACCTTGGAGCAGAACCCTGTGTCTTGCTTCATTGTGTGGATGGTTAAAGTCACTAAAAAGGAAAAATAACTAGTCATTTCAGTAAAGCTCTCTTCTGGAGTCAGGCTGGACAGCAGGAGCCTCCATCCTCCATATTAAGACAATGGCCAAACCATTGGCCCTGTCCAGCTAGCCCACTACAACAGCCTGGCTGATTGTGGGAGTTAGGCCTTACTAGTTCCAGGTGCCTGTCCCATTTGCCCTCTATACTGGGCTGCAGATGAACACCAGTATCTGCCCCCGCACCTAAGAGCTTCATTTCAAGCTACCCATATCAGACAGCCCAAAAGAACTGTTAGCCCATGGGCTGTCACAGCGAGAGGCAGATGCAGCTGTTGAAGGGCTACAGCCAAAAACGTACATCAAAAGGGAAAATGGGATGCCAGTAAAATAAAAGGCTGTCCCCTTACCCTCAGGATCACAAGAAACTTCCATAAGCAAAAGCAGCTCCTGCCAAGCTGTCATTCAGCTACTTTTATTTATTTATTTTAGGATTTCAACTTTTAAATCAGGCAGTGCTTCAGTCAGATCCTCTCCCAGTATAAAGAAAAAGCTAAGTTAAAACTCCTCTCCAATCTTATAAGTTACCTCACTGGAATTGCCAGTTTGAGATGTAGGATCATATGCTTTGTTTTCCTAGTTAGTACATACTTTCTTTAAGCATAGATTTAAATAGTTGAAAAAGACCAAATTAACATTTTGTACAACCCCAAATCCTGTCTGATGTTATTCTTATGCAGTCTTACAAAGACCATATGTGGCAGGCATGGCTTGCTCATCCTCCAGTGGTCAACTCTGCAGCAGGCATTTTCCATTTGCAGTGATTCATAATTCTTACGAAGATCTCAATAGCAAAGTGTCTTGGGAACAAACCAGCACAGATCAGTACAGCCAGAGGAGGATAGGACAGGCCTATCTTTTTTAACGAAACTTGAAGCTCTTAAGCATTACTTTTACTCCTCACTTAGGCTGACAAGAGCAATACACGAGTCAAACAGCTGAAAAGGCAACTGGAGGAGGCTGAAGAAGAGTCCCAGCGCATCAATGCAAACCGCAGGAAACTGCAGCGAGAGTTGGATGAAGCCACTGAGAGCAGCGAGGCCCTGGGCCGGGAGGTGGCAACGCTGAAGACCAAACTCAGGTAAGGCAGCTTTGTGTTCATTAGCTATTTTCTCCACCTCCGACGAGAGATTTCGAATTCTAAACCACAGTGGAACTGAAGGGAGACTAGCTCCACTGCTCCAGGTTTCTTGAGTCTCTACATCAGCATAATGAAAATGGGCACCTCTGGCATAAAAGACTTGGGGTGAAATCTTGATTCCACTGAATTCAAAAGGTTCACGAGTCTACCGCTGGGATGAAATACTCGGCCTTGGCTTTACTCTTCTCCTATTGAAGATAATGGTAAAACATGTCTTGGCTTCAGTAGGAACAGTTAGGCCACTGCTGAATACTTGTGAAAATGCCACCTATGATTTAATGTAAGAACTGAGACCCCTGGTAGTAGTTATGAATATGTGCGGATGCAGCTAGTTTACTTTTTCTTTAAAGTAGCTCCCTCCGCATGCATATGCATATGCCCACTGGCTGTAAAGGGGTACCTTGTGATTCAGAGACTTGGTGAGGGCTATAGGAGTCAAAGAAAGCACGTTAGGGTCTGTTTCATAGCTAAAATGGCTGCACAGTTTGGATTATGCCATGTGGGTTTCTGCTTAGGTCAGTCATGTGCATGGGAAGTGTCAAGCTATCACTTTCATCTGTTCATTAAACAAAAAAAATCTCATACAGCATTCACTAGTTGCCTTCCCAAGCTTTGATACTGCCTGTGGGACAGACCTCACCCATGGAGCTGCTCCATGCAGCCCACTGGGCTACATGGAGATGGGGGACATGGCCTGTGACAGATTCAAGGCCACTGGCCCCTCTAGACGTGACCTTCAGTGGCAGAAGGGCAAGCAAGGGTTGTACGACACAGCTCTTGGTTGCCCTGCCATCGCCTCAACATCTCAGATCCAGCCTAGGAAGAGCCTCATGGATGAGATCGAGCCCCAGGATCAGGGTGAGTTTGACACGTCTGCTTTAATACAAAGCTCTTGATCCTGTTATACCACCAGTGACATGAAGAGGCTCTGAAGGGAAGCTTCTGCCTCTGCAGCGTTTTTGTAAAACTGCAGTTCATGACCTGTAACAAAGAAATTAAACGTGATACTAAAGGAGATGCCGATTCAAACCCTTCCCCCTGGTTTCCCAGGGAGGGGGTGATTTCTAGGTAATGCATCAGAGTTGACTTCAACTTGCTGTGCAATAATTTGCTCTAATGTACTTTGTTTAATTAAAGTAACTTACATTCATTTGATCCTGACCATGTGCTTAGCATAACTGCACGGGACTCTTTCTCTCTATTTCAGAGGGCCCCAGGAACCTCCGCAGTGACTAAGCAGGTACCATGCCTTCAACTTTGCAGCTAGCTTGGTGTTGCATAAATTTCCATTCTCCTTTTGCCTGAGCAAATTTGATGTAAGATTTCTGCAAACCATGAAGGCTTGGATATCTTGGCAACAATTTGATCAAAAGAGACAAATATTACAATAAGCCATCTTCCATAAGCTGCTTGTCCAGTTATTCATCCTCCTTACAGCTAGGTTGTGTTACAACATGGACTTTTTACATGTTACATTTGCACTTTTTGTAAGCTGTTATAGCAGAATCCCTACAAGTTGCTCTGATTTTTATTTCTGCATGAAACTTCTCTTCCTTGCATCTCTTAAAGGCAGAACGAAATGTGAACATTTTCACAAACAAAATAGCGCTGATGAATAAAAATGGTAGAGTATTCCAGGCACATTATGGGAAAAGAATGGACCTGTTGCAGCATGCTGTTAGAACTGCACAATGCCACCCATTTATATTTAATACTGCACATGGTAAATATTTTAAAATATTTTAATCAGTAGATAAAAATGTATTTGCTTTGGAAAGAATTCACCATCATGGAGTCTGGTACAGTTACCCCACCTAATTTGAGACTGCACCCTCCACTACACAGCAATATGTGCCTGCATTGCTTATAGTTCTCATGCATGCTTTTAGAGCTGCTATTTGTATATTTTATGATGCGTGACTATATCATGGAATGTAGGATGGAGAAAATGCTGTTTAAAGCATACCAGTATCCCAATTTGGACTGCTTGATACTTCAGTTTAACACGGCATCATATTAGTGACACCCTGTCTGGATTAGCTTTTTGCAAAGAGCAGAAGTGATTCTAAGTAATTAGTGTTCTGTAATATTTGTGTACCTTCTCTTTTGCAAATGCCAGGCCTTGCTGCTGTTACAAAAATATTTAAAGATGGCATTTTGTCCTAGCAACTGCAGTTAGTCAGTTTCAGCTTTTTGTGTCCAATGAAATGATGACAAGTGATGATGTAGTGCTTGTTCAAAGGCAGACCATATGGAGAGTGAAATATCCGGCAAAATTAAAGGCTGGAAAGGTTTTTCTAGTTTGTATTATAGGAGATATAGGAGTCTCACCCCCAAACAACAATCTTTCTCCTGCCTTCATTTAAGTTGCACCTGTTAGTTTAAAATTGTGGTTCATAATCAATTTGTTAAACAAGTACCAATGGTTTAAGAACAGACATTTTCAGAAAGACAAAACTTCAATTATATCCCATTATCTTAAGCTGAATATGAGTTTCCATATGTGTCTGTACTGGTTTAAAACATTAAATCATTGTAATTTATATATGTTAATAGTGGCATTAATTCCACATTTAAACAGCACTTCAATATCATTATGTTTAAGAGTAGAAGTAAATTTCAGATAAGGCACCTGTTACAGCCAAATGGCTAATGAAGCTTATGCAGACATGGTCCTTGCTTTCACTAGCTGTAGTTCTTAAACAAGGCATTATTACCTGGCTGATTGCTTGCTATAGCAGACTCACAGCAAAAAAAAAGCTTTTTAAGTTAGAGCAGTAGCTATTAAAGCTATTAAATCTATGTATGGAAGAGTCTACAAGAGAAATGCGGGTTTTGAGCTACTCGGGAAAGCTGAGAATCCAGCCAATATTCTTGCCTACTTGCCTATTAGGGAGATTGACCTTTGGGCCTGAATAGTCGTGAAACTGACTGACTTGTTCACAAGGACAAGATAAACCTTTAAGTATTTATGCATGATTGCTGTACCAAAGTGTGCAGCTGGATGCGTTTAACCTCCCATCAATAATCACTGCACAAGGTTCAGTGATCATGAATTTATTCCCTTGCTTATGTCTACCCTGAAGCCTTTACAAAAGGTTTGCTTAACAAGGAGCAAATGCTAAAGGCCACACTCCATTACTGTCTTGCTGCAGTAGTATCACTGGCTGAGAAGACATCTTCTTTTCTTCTTCCTCTACCTGCAGTGGCTCAGTTCCTCCTTCCTCCCTGCCCTCCCTCTGGTTGGTTGGTGGCAGAAGTTTCCCCATGCCTGTTGTGAAAGTAGGAAATGTATTTTGGGAGGGGAGGGGAGAAGCCGAACACAGCAGGCTCAGCAGCTTCTTGGCCAGAAGCTTGTCATCCTGGACATTTCTACATGAGGCCTGGCCGTATATCCTGGGCAGAAACAGAACATTGCCACATTCTGGATTTCCCCTCCTCACTCATGAAGAGAGCTCAGGAAAGCTCCTCAGTCCCTTGGATGAAACATAGGCTGCAGCTCTGAGGTGGAACGCACCATAGGACCCCACTGCCAGGGATGTAGGCATGCACCATTCAGGAAAGCAGGATTATCCCTCTAAAATGTCCCCGCTCTGAGATGGCAGCAGGGATGTGCCAGTCTTGGCACCAGATGCGCTCCTGGTCTGCTCCTGCACACAGGGCACAGTAGCCACTGCATATATAAAACACAAGGACTCAGCAAGACATTTGCTCCGTGCGTCTGATTGTGCCTGAGCTTTTCAAAAAGGAAACTAAGCATCAGACATTCCTAAAACACAGGCTGGGATTTTTGCATGTGCCAGGCAGAAAACCCAGGCCATGACTCACCAGCTCTATCTGTCTAGTTGCATTCACCCACAGGAAGTACCAGGCAGATGCACAGGTTACAGAAAGTTGCCGTAGAGCAGGATTCAGCAACATACGGCCACTGGATCTAGCCTGTGGAGCCAGAAGCTTTGCTTCTGCCTGCACTGATGCAGGGCAAGAAACTACACTGGGGCCAGGAAGCTAGAAATTGTGCTGTCATCACCGCTCTTCCCCACCCTCTGCTCTCTGGCTGCAGCACAGGTACAACTTCCAACCATGGGAACTAAGCTGGAGCTGGGCAGCTTCCAGGTCAGGAGAGCAGGCCACGGGGATGTGGAAGCAGTGTGGGTGCAGCTTCCCTCCAGCCAGGCAGCAGCGGGCTGGAAAAAGCGGCAGCAGTGTCAGCACAACTCCCAACTGCCTGGCCCCACACAGCCACAGGCAAATTCCCCTCGCTGCCGATATACCAGACACCATCTGATCCATGCCAGACTGGAGCCTCGTTGTTCTGGTTTGCGCCTTGAAAAGGGTGCCAATCCCGGTCTCAGAGCCCTGCTGTTTGGGGCTTGTTTTTTGCATTAAAGACGCTCAGTCCCACTGGTGCTGTTCCCAAGCTTCAGGCATTTAGGTCAGCCTTGGATTGTGAAGCACTTCAGTGATCTAATGCCTATTTTTTCTCACTGCAGGAGGGGAAATGAGCCCCCAACTTTTGCCCCTGCCCGCAGATCTGGAGGCAGAAAAGTAATTGAAAATGCAACAGAAGTTTCAGAAGAGGAAGCTGATTCAAGAGATGGAGACTTCAATGGAACAAAAGCCAGTGAATAGATAACACGCTTGCCAATTACACTGCAGCCAGGGGGGAGGGAAGACCACATCTAGCACTGTATTCATCTACTTTTAGTTCCAATGCCACACACACTCCTATGGTGATAGAAGCACAGCTGTCTTCTCTCCAGTCTATAAACTAAAGTTGTGTTGCAAACAACTGGTTATCAGGAAATGTATTTTGAAACAGGGTTTCTTTAAATTAAGAGTAATTCACCTTAGGAATTTTCAGAATGAAATTGAATTCTAGCGTGTGAGACCATTTAAATCCCAGTGGACTGCAGTTCACACAACCACAAGTGTTACAGAAAAAGCCATTGTCCAGTTAAACCTTTCCTAATCCAGTCTACCCTTCATTTTGTCTCAACTATTCAATTACTATAGGCATTCTCTTCTCCTGGAAGCTACACCCCCCCGATGCACCATTCACAAAATGGAAGTGCCTTCTTTAATCACCGATTGAAAAATAAAATATCATTTGTTCAAAGCCAAATGTTACTGTTTCATGTGCACCTTGGATGTGCTCACACACTAATAAATGGTTATCAATCACTAGAGTTAAGTATTTTTCTCTTTAGGTATCACTAGGGTGCAGTATGATACACTGGGAGGTAACTTAAGTGGCTTCTGAGCTTCTTCAAAATTAAAATGCCCTTTCCCAAATGTCTACATTTGTATGGGCTGATTTGTATGGCAAAAAGTGTTTTGCAATGAGCAGGGCAAAAGGGCTATGAATAAAAACACCTTTTAGAGCATTTTATACTGCATCTAGCAGTTGATAAACAAAACCCACAACTGCTACATTTAGTGCAGTGATCTATACCATGCCACTCTGCACTTTGAGACTACCTTACTGGCATTTATCACTGCTTGAGTGTTATAATGGGACTGCCACTTCAAGGGACTTCCAGGAACTAATGGATTGGTACCCATTATTTCCAGCAGCTGAAGGCAGTAGTATTATGTACTGTGGGCCCACACACAGCCCATGCAGTGGAAATAGCAGTGTAGAATATTAAACACTATAGATTTTAATGCAGATGACCTTTAAACAGTGTAAATACAAAGAGTCCAAGCCTGCTCTACCAGCAGGCACAGGGTCTAGGAAGTAACATCAATCTAGCTGCCTCAAACTGAATACAGATCAACACTTAAAAAATTAAATTAGACTCCCATGCGCCCACAGTATTAGTCCAAGGTGTTCAGAAGCAGCTGCATTCTCCCTGCTTAAAAAAGCAAGTAAGAATGCAGCTGGAGGGGTTTTTTGAAAAGCTGGCACCAAACTGGTGCAGGGCAGTATTCATTGCTCAGCCACTTAGATTCACCCCTCGCCATTGTTCCTTTACGCTCCAGCCGGCAGTGTGGAAAAATGGAAGTTTGGCTTCAAACAGCTGATATAAAGTGGCTTTACTCACAGGGGCCAAGAGCTGAACCTGTCACTGGATGCTGGGTTCTTCCAGAGACAGTGTCATGTGTATGTATGCAAAAGCACCAAGGAAAAATGAAGGCTGGTCTTCTGGTTGGGTTCTAGGTTCAAGTGTCTGTTCTGCAAGCCCTGTGTAGGATCACAGACCCAGAGAGGGTATATCTACATTTGGACATTTACCAGAACAATGATTTTGAAATAAATTAGGGGGCTGGACTCAATGATCCTTTCCAATCCCTTCCAGCCCAAATGTCTATGAATCTATGAATCCTCCATGTGATGTTTGTTCCAGGATAAAACATGTTTCCACAGGGAGCTATTCTGATATATTTTTATACATGTAACAAGCCTTCAGGCTCTCTTATGTCGTAGTTCCCTAGCTTTAAAACGATAATATCACTTCCCTATTCCCTATCAGATTTTTAAATGTGTTCAAGCACCTAAAGATGTTGGAAGGCAATTTAGTACATCTCATGACCTTCCTCATTACAGTAACGGAGGCCACATAAATGAAAGACAGCGCTCCACTAGGAACCACTCCTAGAGACATGGCCATCAGGACTAATACCACCCCAGGCACAAAACAGTCGGAGTGAGAATACTTTCTGAACTCTTTACACTTGATAAGTATGGCTGTGTTTCATACTCTATATAGCAAAACAAGCTGAGAAACTGGTTAGACCAATACTTGTACATAAATTGTAAATACAACTTGCAGTGAATTCAGAGTGGATCAGGTAATGTTGTCCACAGACCAGCATTCAGAATAAGCTTTATTCTGTTCACTGATAAAACCAGACATATAAAAAGAGTGGGATTAACCTGAGGTTATTTCCTATACCATAGAAATACAGTGCCTGAGAAAGACACTGTTACAATAGTACCTGAATGCTGAGTCAAACATAAAAAACACCTTTATCTATTCATAATTTGTGCAAAAATAGTGCAAAAAATATTTGTTACAAATTTCTATGACATAATATTGATACAAGTGACCTTGATCCATTAAAACAAAAAAAGCTCTTATTTTATTGGATAAAAACCTACTTTAAAAAATTCATTTTAATACTTTGACCAGCATTAAGGATTTCTCAGGTTAAAAAGGCATTTCTACGTTAGTATCAGGAGCAACTAGAAAGGGTGCATTCTTACGCTAAACACACAAGGCACATCAATAACAGGAGGTTTAGAAACCAAAAAAAAAAAAAAAAGAAAAAAAGCTCCACCATTGAAATCATAACCCAAGGAAGACAGTCATGTGGAAATTGCAAGAAACCTGAATGTGTTCATTAAATCAGTGCAAAGAACCATGGCACATTCTGGCTGCCTTGAAAAATGCAGCCATTGAGCATTCCCTGCCTCCTTCAACCAGTAGGAAATCTTAATGAAAAGTCACTTTCTCCAGCCTCAAAGGCAGATGGTCAATGAGATTCCAGCAATACATTTCTCCACGTAGTCTCATATAAAGCTTACTTGCAATTGCATTGTTGTTTATCCAGTCTCACCTTGGAACTAATGGAAGAATATTCTGCCTCCCAATTTGGGTTACTGATGTATGTGGCCTGCACTAGAAAGTTATCATCGTGATTCAAGCTAGAACAGTAGGTGTGCTGCATACAATGACATTTGTTATTTATTTGGGGAAGGTGGGAAATAGTGTCTCTTCAGAAGGCAGTGGCAGTTTATACCAGCAGTGTCACAGAAGAAGGCCTCAAGAAGCTAATATACAGCAGCTGACAGGATTCACAGTCCCATGCTGTGCGGCAGTGCTACTTTGTCGCAGGCTGAGATGGAGGTTGTTGCATTTCCAGCTCACTTACCCTTACTCCAGTTACTTACTACTGCAACTCTATGTTAATATCCTGTTTGGAACTAAACAGCTTGGAAGAGTTTTCTCCTTTGGGGAAAAAAAACCCAAAAACCAAAATGTTGTGGTCTTAGTTCCATGATCTTCTCAGAGTAACATCTTGACTACACCTTGTGGGGAATGGGCCATTGGGGCTGCAATGTTTGAAGGCCTTGTTCCAAACTCCAGACGTTTCACTAACCTGTGGATACAAACAGGTCCGTTACTGCATAAGCTGTATGAAGGGCTTGCATCTGCAATCTTTGCTAGGCTGCTGATAAACAGTTTGAGATACTGACAACACCTTCCTTCCCAAAGTCATTTCTGAAACTAACTTGGCACATCACTAAACCTCTGCCTCCATTTCCATACCCCACCCAGGCAGCAGCAATGGTACCGGCTCTGGATCCAGCCCCAGGTCAAAGCCAGAAGCGCAGCAGTTACCCTGCTGTTGTGTGGTCTCCCCCACTCTCCCTGCCATGCACCCCCTCCTCTGCTGTATGAGCCACTCCAGTCCAGGTCATGGCAGCAGAGGCAACAGCTCCAGCCCCAGCCCAAGGTTGCAGCTGATGCAACCACCTGCCCCGAGCTGGCATTCAAATCCAAAACAAGTCCCCCACCACCCCCACCCTGTTCAGTGGATGGGGGGAGAAGGAATGGAAACCTTGTCTTGGATACGAGTGAATACAGTAATCAAAAAGGGTGAAAGATTTAAAGGTAACAGGTCAGAGCAACGTTAACTTTCAAAGCCTAAGACTAACCCTGTATCACACAGGGGGAGATGGGAAGGGCCCAGTCGTTCAAAGCCATCTCTGCTCCTGTTCATGAATGGGGACGACGACACGATGGTTCTGTTTGGCGACTGGTCATACACAAAATTCCGACACGATGCAAGCTTGGACTCCAAGGCCTGGAGAAAACACATTTTGTCTAAGGGTTAGGCATCAGACTTCCCCCTAGCACTAGGTCCAAGGGAAGATTTTCTAATAATTTAAATCTGTGATGGTAAAAGGTGTTTGTGGCTAACCCCAGGAGGTGCACATAAGCTCTCAGGAAGGAAGAGGAGAAATGTTGCAGATATACAATGGCCACTTCCTTCATGATCATCAGGGATTCATATTTTCCATTTGCCTTGGAAAAATGTGAACTTTCTTTCTTAAAAGGAGAAAAACATAGAAGATGGTAGGGTAAACCTACCATCTTCTACGTTTCTGCAAGGGGCTGCTTAGGGCTGTGGGCAGGACAAGAGGGGTGCCACGTGCATGTGCATACATGCACGTGGCAGCAAGGCAGCAGTGGAGAGCAGGTCACCAGCAGAACGGGGGAGGGGGAGTGCTATGGGCCAGGAGTGAGGGGCACCAGGATATCAAAACTGTTTAGCACCACAAAATAGTGGGGGAGGGAGGGAAACACAACAGCCATAGCCAGACCTGTGTCCTAGTGAGCAAAGGGGGCAGGGGAGCTCTGATTTTCCATTTTAAAAACAAAAATCAAATGCCAAAACGTACAGGTATTTAGAATGTATTTTTTATATATAGATCCAGATATATATAGATATATAGTATTGTTTAATTTTAAAATCATGGAAAAAACAGATTTTTAGCTTTTTTAAAATCAGAGAATTTGGAATTTTTAAACAGAGCAAACTAGGATCCCTGATGATCATGCCCTTTGTGTCTCATTACATGGCTTTTCTGAAGAAATTAACTCTTAGGGTAGGGAGGAGAAAGCCACTAAATGCTGAGGTGAGTTAATCAAGAAGAAAGTCTTGACTTCCACAGAAATGTTAACAGCTCTTTTATAACATGGCGACTCCTACGGGCCTCGCTTCTTTGTAAGCCTGAATGTTCTTTCAAGCCTTCCACCCTCAACAAGTCAAGGTTCAGGCACCAGGCCGAATGTCTGGGAGTTGCTACTCAGGAATTGCTAGAGAGGGCTAGACACTACCCAGGACACTACAAGGTATACCAGTGCAGGGGCCACCAGAAGCCCTCCTGGCAGTGTGCATTAGCATGCCTGAATCACCCTCTTCCAGAGTGCAGCATATCCCCCCACCTCACACTGCTCCCATTTACACTGACCAGCTCTGCTTTCCCTTTCCCTGACCCTTCCTTGTCCTCTTCCAGAAAGCTGGAAAGGAATTACAGTCAAGCTGATCAGCATCTGGCATGGGGCAAAGACCAGAGAGGAACAACATTCAGCGTTCAATAAGCTACATTATATCTAGACACAGGTCAGAGTTATAAAACCCAGATTCAAATTCCAAAGCTCTCCCTTGCAGAATTCAAGTCTGCCTGCAGCCAAGTGTTGGTCTGAGTTCATCTCTACAGATTCACTCATTTAACAATACACAGGCTAGCTCCTTTCCCTCGCACAAGCCCATCCACTTCCACCGCCCTGATTAGCCTTGGTGTCAACCACTCACCCCTACTTTCCGTAGCAAGTCTCCCACAATGTTAAGTGCGGATATCCTGGCAGCTGGCGTGAGGGGAGCCCCACTGTAACCATCTTCAAAACCTTGAGGAGAGATTAAAGAATAGGGATATGTGATCCATCACATATGTGCAAATCAGAGAAGCCTTTAACCGCTGACAACAGACCATAGGACATATGATGGCAAACATCCATATTTCCTCCTCACCTTTTATCTGAATTGCACTTCTCATTACAAAAGAAATCTCTATGATTTTGAGACTACACTGGGTCACCACAGAGATGAAGTACCCCCAATGTGCCCTGGCTTCAAAAGCCCTTTGACTTCACAAGGAGCATTCTGCACCTCTATCACTTGCCATGAAACCAAAGACAAGCAGCACATAAAATATTTCCTTCACAGAAATACAGGGAATACAGCCTGGGATCCCTTGGTTTCAAGAATTCCTTGCTCCTCTGTTTTTACGAGAGGATCTTTTATACCAGCTTTTTTGACAGAATAGAGGGTTTGGGGATAGGAATACCTGGGTCAGAAGCATTTAGAATTTATCAACACGTCACAGCTGTTATATTAAATTATTAGTATTGGATACCATCACAAGAAACCAACTCTTCCCTGTATACAAGCCCAAAAATACAGCTGAGCTTTCTATACTAGATTTCTGGGCAGAAGGATGGGTGGGGAAGGGTTTTTTTTAAAGTATAGATGATTGGAGACAAGGAGGGTGTTGTTTACTAGTCAGTGCTCATGAAAACAAACAACTAAAAGTAAGGGTAAGGGCAAGCAGTTAGTAGTTTGCTACAGGTGATGCAGACAGTGATACCGTCACTCTCCTACTGTTTTGGAGCTAAGTGTCTCTAATTCAGCAACCATCCTCTGGCTACTTCAAGATCTTTGCACAACCAACAGTACTAGCACATGTTGACACCTAATCTCCTTTCCATCAAAGTAATACAGGATAATCAGAGACTGCTACTGACTCTATATTAGGTTATCCATTAGGTTCTTTCACATTGTTTAGCACCTCACATTTTTATAATGAACTGCCTAGAAATACATCAAACCACTTAACTTAAAACACTTGTCTCATTCAGCCCTGAATGTTCAGTTCTACTTCTGTGTTCTAGTTCCAGTGATTTAGTTCAGAAAATTTAAAAGCTTACATTAAATGCTTAAAATTTAAATTCCTATGCTGAAAAGGGGAAATGGATTGGCTTACACCTGACTGCTGTCGGTCTCTCCTACCTCTTCTGAAAGTTCCTGGAGTGCTCAGACTGACACTGGGTCCCCTATGGACTACAGGGGTAGAAGGCATGGATAAGGTTGCTTGCACAGCTGTGTCCGTTCTTTCCGCCTCCAGAGTACTTCGTATAGGTGTTTTGGGTTTCTCCTGCTTCTGCTGCACTGCGAGTTCTTGCCGTAAGTCTAAAGAGAAACATTTGGGACACGTATTTCAATCTAGATCAACATGCATGAGAAATGTTCTTGTTAGGTTACATGGCTGACCCTCCCCCCCATTGCGTTTCATTGCCTCTGGCTATGAAGTAGCTTCTATAGCAGGGGCAGGCAAAGTCCAGCCCACATCCCCCTCCATTTCCCAGCAGCCCCTGCCCAGATTGCTGCAGCCGGTTTCCATGGAGATCTCAGCAGCAGCCGTGCCCTGACAGCAAGGGGCCAGGGTTTCCATGGAAATTGGCCCCAACAGCACTGGCAGGGCACACAGCTGAGCAGGGCGCTGTTCTGGAGCTCAGATCTTCAGTAATGCCGACTGTCGCAAAACCATCATGAGATTTAGGATTTCAAAGTCAAAATAATTCTGACTCGCGATCTCCTGATCCAACCCTCAGCTCTCTGGATTTACCCAGCTGGTAAGTGGAGGGAAAGGGGTGGAGGAAAGGGGGAAGGGGAGAAGATTGAGGCCCCCACGGTGAGGGAGGGAGCAGGGGCAGGAGTGAATGGGGGCAACTCCCTGCAGCAGCACGCACCCAAGGGAGACATGGAGGCATGTGCCCCCATGGGGCAGAGGCAGGCTGCCCCCTGCAGGCTAGGGCTCTGCACCCTGCTGCCTTGCCCCAGAGCTCAGCCGCACAATGCCATTGCCGCCTGCCAGGCAGGCAGGCAGGGGACATGGGGCAGGTGACACTGCAGTCCCACGGCTGAGTTCCCAGGACAAAGGCAGCAGGGTACAGAGCCCTGAGCGGGCAACCTACCTCTGTCCCATGGGAGACACGTGCCCCCATACCTCCCCCGGGAGTGTGGGCTGCTGCAGGTAGCCACACCCACCTCCAGCACCTCTGGACAACCCACCCTGGTCCCAGGACCCCATTCACCACTGCCCCTCCTCCCACCCCCCTCCCTCCCTGGCTGTTGATCTCCACCCTTGCCCCTTCCTCACCCCCACTTTCCCTCCATTTACCAGCTGGGTGCTGTCTGTGTGTCTCTGTCTATCTGCTCCTCACTCTCAAGCCACAGCCCACCCAGCCCTGCTGCTGCTCCTCACTCCTGACCCACAGTACCCCGCATCATAGACTGTAGAGTCAGAAGGGACCACAAAGGATCGTCATGTTCAACCCCCCACCCCTGGCAGGAAAGAGGACTGAGGTCAGATGAGCCTCCTCTTGTCTATCAAGCCTCCTCTTGAAGGCCTCCAAGTTAGGTCATAGTACCACCTCTCTTGGAAGCCCATTCCAGATTCTCGCCACCCTTATTGTAAAACATGTCTTCCTAATGTCCATCCTGAATCTAGTCTCCACTAGTGTGCACTCATCCTGCCAGGATATATGGGGACCTCCCTCCCTGGGCTCCAAACCCCCCACACCCACAGCCCCCAACATCTTCACAAATAACCCGCACATACACACACTTCAAATACAGCATCTCATGATTTATGTGCCAATCTCATGATTTTTTTAAGAGTTTGTCTCATGATTTTTGGCACGGTGGGGTCGGCAATACTGGATCTTGCAGCGATGACAACATGGTTGGAACCGGGGCAGAGCTGGGAATCCACTCCCCGCATACCACAGGCAGGGGCACGCAGGCAGTGGATCATAGCTCTGCCCCGCCTCCAGACCACACTGTCACCATGGCAAGATCCCAACCCTGGCCGTGGAGCTCCTCCTCGCCCAACCACATGCTCTGCCAGCACTGCTGGGGCTGGTCTCCATGGAAACCCTAACCCCCTGCTGCCAGGGCACTGCTGGGGCCCCATGGCACCCAGCCGCAGCAACAGAGGCAGAGGCTGCTGGGAAATGGAGTCTGGCCACTGGCCAGATGTGCCATTTTGCCCACCCCTATTCTACAGGCTCAAGAATTCTGAGTGTCTTAGCCTGACCAATCAGGAAACCAGGCCTTACTGGGATTGTGTCACCCTCATGATAGAGACTTCAGGTACAATTTTACTCTGCTACTTATTAACTGTGCACTTCCAGATGACAATGAACTCACCCTCCATCCATCACACAGATGAAGGGTTTTATTCCCATTTTACAGACTGGTAAACTGGGCATAGGGAAAATAACTGAATTGTCCAATGTGAAGTTTGTGTGAATTAAACAGATAGTATTCACTCACGAGGGTATATTAACAAATGGACTCTTCAGTGTCCTCATTGGCTCCTTTCTTATAAGCTGGTAAAGGATGGAGATAGACAATATCCCTACTGTATTAGCTAAAAATCAGATCCTGTGAACTCACAATGAAGTGTGCAGCTAGGACAAGAGAATGAATGCCCCACCCCAAGAGGATGTCCTCGTCTCTAAAAACAGAGGCCTCACAGAAGGACATATGGCATTCTGGGACACATCTTTGGCCCCTGATCTGCTACTGAATACTCTCAATACGGCAGAGAAGCAGGGGAGCGTCTTGAGTTGTTTCTAAAAATTAAGGTCCAAATGCCTCACAAAGTTAAATGCGCAACTTACCAGACACTGATAGCTGGGGGAGGATTTAATAATTGAGAGTTTGGAAGGGGAAGCAGGGGTCTACCTAAACCAATGTTTTCTAACCTCTAGCTTCATCCTTCAGGCGCTGCACTGACTCCAGGAGGTTCTCCTTCTCATCCAGCTCACTCTCCAGAAAGGCATTTCTTTCAATGGCCTGGTTTAAACGTTGTTCAAAATCTTCCAGGGACATTATAGTGGCTCTGTGTAGCCAAATGAAAAAGAAATTTGTACAGCGGTCACTACTGGATTCTCCACACACAAACCCTATTTCAGTGTGGAGAGTGGAAAGCAGAAATAACTTAACTTTAAGCTTGTAAGGAATTAAGAAACAAACAATCCAACATACGTACTGCAGCTTCAGAAAGTTCAGTTCAACTAGTACAGCACCTGCTCAATTTTATCAGCCCCCCAAAACAAGGCAGAATTGGAAAAACATCTTTGCCACCTTTTTGCTCTTTCCAAGTCATCATTTGCTTGCTCAAGTTCCCGAATATATTTCTGAAGTTGATCTTTAATGGCTTTTGTCTGTGCCAGGTCTTCTTCTAGTGAGGAGATCTGCTGATAGCCTTCTGAATGCTGCATTTCAATCTTTTCCTAACCAAAGAAAAACAAATCACCAGGTCAGGGATTTAGCAGACATATCCCCTCCTTCCTGCTATGTTTACTCTGCCCTTCTCAGTCAGGGAGATGTGGGTCCTACTGACAAACTCCTCATAGGCCCAGGCTTCTACTGGCAGGTCCCAAAGCAAGCTCAGAGCTCTAGCCACTGCAGATACAATTATCCAAGCTGCTTACCTAATAGGACATTTTTAAAACATGATGTCAGTATCCCTTTCAGGCATACACATAATCTAGCTTGCACTGCAATAGTTCACACACCACGGCCTTGGCACAGGACTACTTTAACTTGCCAGATTCCTTTCTTGAAGATCCCAAGATTGCTACCCATTAACATTCCGAAAGCACTTATCACCCCAGTCGCTAGGCAGTCAACTTAAGTCACTAAAACAAATCCACAAATCAGAAAGACAGACTCTTTATTTCCATCCTTAGTTAGTAATTTAGAGAGAGCAGTTTCAAGATGCGTATGAAGCCTTGGAAAATTAAGAAACTCTGAGCTGATAATAGGATGATTAGGTGCAGACACTAAACATTCCACCACTTTTTACATTTTATTCCTTCCCATTCTAAATATCTTGAGCATGAACAAAGGCATAGTTTAACTTAAAATTTCCAAACAGTAAGCCCATTTACTGAAAGCACAAGACCTACAAACTGGGCTCTGAGGCAGTATCTCTGTTTATTTTTAGATAGCATGAACTCTACGGTTTACACTTGGGGTGGAAATACAGAGGACAATTGGGGAAGCTCAAAGCTGGAGACTGTGGGACCTGGCAAACTTCTGCATTGTTGACCTAGATGCAGACGCTGGTTCTTGAAATAGATGGCAGCCACCAGGCTCAACAGCCTCACAAGTTTAAAGCTTCTCTCTCTTGAACTGATTTAGATAAAAGACCAGAACTGTGAGGTCTGAGCCTTTGTTTTTAGCAAACTGTAATAAACTGTCAGCTGATCTGGTAATCAATGGAGTCTCTGTTCCTTCATTGCAGGCTGTCACCGTAGTTTTCAGTCTGAATGAATAGCCAATTGTTAAAGAGCTTGTCTCCTACAGAATATGCTTTATCAAGTTCTTTACAGTGAGGAATTATTAGTTTTTCCAAATGCTTATCCTTCTGTCTTTCTGTGGCTTTATGGTGATGTATATCATTTCCATCCCAGGTTCCCTGACAAACAATGCTTGTCATCTCCTCTCTTATACCAAAATGTTCTGCATGTGGGAAGAACGCACTTACCTGCTAGCTCATACAGCAATAAGTTTATTGCGGATTTTATTTTAGTTGGAATATTTTACCTTCTCCCCAAGAGCGTCATCCCGAGTGGGTTTGTGTAGGCCTGACGCAACAAACTACACCAATGTTCCATGCAAGATGTTAGGAGATCAGTATTGTAAGGACATTTACCTGCTGGACTGAGCAGTACTTTAAACCGCCAGTTGTAATACAACATGTGGCTTTGTTTTTTATTTTGTTTCTGTAAAAATTTTACAAAGTGCAAAAAAAATAAAAGTCCCTTAAAACTAGTCTAAATTGTTTAGTGTCCCCATCAGGTGTTTATTACCTAGTTAGTGACACATGGAAACGACTCATACAACAAGCACTATAAGTAAAACCCAGGTTCATCAGCTATACATACAGCTTAATTCTCCTTAGTTCAGTATTCAATCCAATTCAGCAGAGCATAATTCATTAATTCAATGCTTGTTTCCACAAATATTGAACTGGGAAAATGCTGAGGAAAATTCTTTGGGTTTCAGACAACTGATATTTAAAATATTTATACTAAACCTCCAAACAGAGTCATCAAGATGATTTCTGAACAGCAGATGTCAAAAAGACAAACCTTTGTCAAGTTTAAGTAAACTTAGTACAATTCCCCAAAAGTGATAATTATTGAAGGGCTTTTTCCCCCGCTTTTGGAATGGTCAGCAGGAGACTCCTGAATGTGCCCAAAACAGAACCAGACTGATTTTGTTTTTTCTACTGTATCCTTCTGATGTTCATAGATGCTAGGATCAGAGGGGACCTCAACAGATCATCAAGTCCGACCCCCTGCCTAGGCAGGAAAGAGTGCTGGGGTCAGATGACCCCAGCCAGATGTCTATCCAGCCTTCTCTTAAAGACTCCCAAGGTAGAGGAGAGCTCCACCTCCCTAGGAAGCCCATTCCAAATTTTGGCCACCTTTACCGTGAAGATGTTTTTCCTGATATCTAGCCTAAATCTGCTCTGTCAGTTTGTGACCATTGTTTCTTGTTACCCCAAGAGGTGCCCTGGTGAACAGAGCATCTCCGAACCCTTGCTGCGTTTCCTTAATGAATTTGTAGGTGGCCATAATATCACCTCTCAGAGGCTGAGGAGGTCCAGGTCCCTCAGGCTCTCCTCATATGGCTTGTCTTGTAAGCCCCTAACCATACGAGCAGCCTTCTCTGGACCTTCTTGAGTCTATCAACATCCTTCTTGTTGTATGGTGCCCAAAACTGGGCACAGTACTCCAACTGCGGTCTGGCCAATGCCACAGAGGGGAAGTATCACCTCCTTGGATAAAGTGCAGTTAGCTTTGCTGATAATTTCATCACACTGACCACTCGCATTCATCTTGGAGTCCACTATGACTCCAAGATGCCTTTCTGCTTCTGTGCCGCTGAGAGGGTCACTTCCCAGCCAGTAGATGGGCTGGATATTTTTGCACCCTAGGTGCAGCACTCTGCACTTGTCCGCGTTGTACTGCAGGCTGGGTCTGGTGGGGTCCCATCAATGGAAGTAATGTTCTTCCATTACTGCCTCCCGATTTTGTTCAAAGAATTTCACCTCAATGAGACTGTATCCTGGAAGTGCTATAAATGAGCACTTTTCCTTTATAGACCTCAAAAGCACTTTTCAGAAGGTGCAAGTTTGTTATTCACAGATGGAGGAACCAAGTGCTGAGTGGTTAAATTCCCCTCTCACCAAGACAGCTAGAGACTACTTTAAGATGCAGTATTAATGGAATACATGTCTGATTCCCAGCCCCTGTCCTACCCACTAGACCAGGGGTGCTCAGCCGCCACCCTGGAGGCCAAATGTGGCCCTCAGAGCCTTAGAATCCAGCTTATGGGTCCCTACAGGTTGGGAAATTTGGTGGTGTGGGAGCAGTGGCAGTTAATACCCCCAATCCTCTCTGCTGCTAAAATCCTAAGCCCCGTGGAATGGACCGGATTTGGGCTGTGACCCTCTCCCCACATGGCCAGATTGTAGCCAGGCCACATCCTCTTCCCTCTGCATAGCTGAGTTGGAACCAGGCTGTGTCCCCTTTTCCCCCATGAGGCCGGGCCATTCCCCCTTCCCTCCAGGCTGCCAGGTTGGGGCTGGGTCATGCCCTCCTCCCCATCTCCTGCAGGGCTGGGTCATGACCCTTCCCTCTGCGGGGCCAAGTTAAGGCTAGACCAAGCCCCCTTCCACTAGAGCTGGATCAGGGTAGGGCTGCACCCTTCCCCTTTCTACGGCCAGATCGGGCCCCACCAGACCCAGCCTGCAGAGGGACTGGGCACTGCCCATCCAACCCCCCAGCCAACAAGGTTGAGCACCACTACACTAGACCAATGAGATGTACAGATACAGTGATCACAGCCACCGCATGTTTAAACAAGCTAATATCATTGTGCTGTGCAGAACCACAGTGTAACTGAATTTACCTCTGGATTACTGACAATCTTTTATTGCTGTGGTTTACTACCTGAGCCTGTAAAAGAGCACTGTATAGAGAGAAGACAGAAGAAGTCTGACAGTATGAACTATAGTGCAGTTAGGCGTGCACCAATAGAGATTTGGTTCCTGGTTGCCCGTGTGCTGCACTGCAGCTGCAAGCACACGTGGCATTAAATCGCCCATGTTATTGGCCACTCAGCCAAAAAAGCTGATTGCCAATACAGTCAATTTTTCTTATAGTCGGTGCCAATCCATACGGGACCAATGTATCGGTGCACCTCTAATAGCATTAGTCCCGAGATCCTTGCAATTGACTGCTTATTTTCTTGATATTGATGCAAATTATTTTTGTGGTTTGGCAATCTATGTCATTATGACCAGCGCATCACTGTTAGTGGAGTTCTATGCTTCTTAGAGGACTTCTCCTCTCGGCTGTCCCTTTACCTTAATTGATTCCAGCTCCATTCGAAGGCGATTATTTTCTGACAGAAGGTCCCGATTTCTGGATTCCGTTTGCTGCAGCTGTGTCTCCAGCTCTGCTTCATACTCCCGG